GCTTACACAGGGTGGTCACGAAAGGCCTCCCTGAGAGGGAGACATTGGAGAATGCAGCGTTGGAAGGGCCAGACTTGGAGGAAGCACGTGAATATCTGGGGGAAAGCACCCCCGGCAGAAGGGACAGCCAGGGCAGAGGCAGGCTGAAGGAACAGTAAGATCATGTGGCTGGAACAGAAGGAGCAAAGGAGAGGGGGGCAGGAGCCACGGTTAGCACGTTGGAGTGGGGGCAGATGGTGAGCACTTGCACTCAGAGATGTGACATCACCGCAGGGCAGTGACGTGACTGGTATTTTAGTAAAATCACTCTGGTTATGACGTTGAGAACAGATACGTAGTCTCTCAATGCCTCAGTTTCCCCAGCTGTGAAGTGGGGATAGTCTCCTCCAAATGCCTCAGGAGATGACTGTAAGGACAGAACGAGGCAGTGCTTAAAAAGTGCTGGGGACAGGCACCGGTGAGCATGCCACCAAAGCTAGTGATTGCTGCTCCTCTAAGGGGCCCCACAGGGCCCCCCCGCCCCCCCACCCCCCCCCCCCCCCGATGAGGAAGGGGGCGGGGTCACAGCACACCCAGGCAGTTTGGGGGAGCCAGGGCGGAGACCCTGCCTCCTCCTGGCCAGCACCTCCCCCTGGCTAGGGATGCTGAGCATGGCAGAGGAGGCTGAACTTGACCCTGTTCTGAAACAGATTCGCCACTTGAGAGAGAGAGGCATGGAATTCCTGGATGTCCCATCCACGTACTACAAACAGCTGCGGGAGAAGCTCAAGTCGGCCAAGATCCGGGTGAAGGAGAACCTCGATGCCCTGGAGGTGAGGCTGGAGCAGGCTCCCGGGTCAGCTGGGAGAACGCGTCGAGTTCCATCTCGCCTCACAAATTCTGTCCAAAGCCCTACCCTGCGCCAGGCACCCAGACACGGAGGGAAGCCAGACCAGGCCCCTGCTGTCATGGGACTTGCGTTCTAGTGCGGAAACAGATGACAAGTACATAGCACGGGCACCGTCAGAGAGCGAGGGAGTCGGAACCGCACAGGGAGTTAAAACAGGCTGTGACAGAGAGGGACCTGGACCACTTTACAGGAGGTAGTCAGGGAAAGTGTCTCTGAGGACGTGCCATTTCCGGGAAATCTAGATGATGAGGAGTTGGCCATGTCAAAGGCCGGGGAAAGAGCAGTCCTGGCAGAGGGAACAGTAGTGCAAAGGTCCTGAGGCAGGAGCTGGCTCCAAGCGCCCGAGGAACAGAAAGACTAGAGCGGATGAAAGGATGAATGGCCTAGGTCCATGGTCGGCAAACCGCGGCTCGCGAGCCACAGGCGGCTCTTTGGCCCCTTGAGTGTGGCTCTTCCACAAAATACCACGTGCGGGGGCGCACGTACAGTGCGATTGAAACTTCATGGCCCATGTGCAAAAGTCGGTATTTTGTGGAAGAGCCACACTCAAGGGGCCAAAGAGCCACATGTGGCTCTCGAGCCACAGTTTGCCGATCACTGGCCTAGGTCACAGGGGTAGGCTATTTAGGACTTTGGATTTTGTTCTTGTGTGGCCAAAAATCATAGTAGCTTTTTGGGGGGTTTCTAATCATTTTAGTAAGATACTAGAGGCCTAGTGCACAAAATTCGTGCACGAGTAGGATCCCTAGTGCAGCGGTTCTCAACCTGTGGGTCGCAACCCCTTTGGGGGTCGAACGACCCTTTCACAGGGGTCACCTAAGACCATCGGAAAACACATATATAATTACATATTGTTTTTGTGATTCATCACTATGCTTTAATTATGTTCAATTTGTAACAATGAAAATACATCCTGCATATCAGATATTTACATGACGATTCATAACAGTAGCAACATTACAGTGATGAAGTAGCAACAAAAATTAATTTTATGGTTGGGGGTCACCACAACATGAGGAACTGTATTAAAGGGTCGCGGCATTAGGAAGGTTGAGAACCACTGCCCTAGTGGCTGCAGGCTGCTGGCCGGGACCTCCCTTCCCCTGGCTGCCTGCCGCCCCCGGCCTGGGCCTTCCTTCGCACCCGCCTTGGCCAGGCACCACCATCCCTCAACCAGAGCCCAGCCAGCCATCAACACCCGCAGCCAGCGCGCTTCTCCGACACCGGCCATGTTCTGCACCGCCCCCTGGTGGTCAGTGCACGTCTAACTCCCTGTCTGTCGGGAAGATGGATTGCGAAGAGGCAAAAGCAGAAGCAGGGAGAACTCTGCGGAGGCTACTCGGGTGGTCCAGGCCGGCCATGATGCAATTGGGGATCTCTTTCATTTTTATTTACTTATTTGTTTTGAGAGGATCTATTCTGAGCTGTCTGGAACTGCTGGAGACACAGGTCTTTTCTTGGCTTAGGGGGTGCAGGAGCCCCTTCCTATGGACTTTCTAAGGATCCCATGTGCCGGGCAGGTGGGCCTCCCCCTCATCCTGCCCTCTGTCTCCAACCTAGGAGCTGAAAATCCTGGTGGACTACGACGAGAACGGCTACCTCTTACAGATCTTCACCAAGCCCATGCAGGACCGGCCCACGCTCTTCCTGGAGGTCATTCAGCGCCACAACCACCAGGTAGGTGGCGCCCGTCCCCAGCGAGCCCGAGGGGGCGGGCATGCAGCTTAGCCTGGCTGGCCTTCTGGACTCGCAACTCACCTCCTCTCTGCCGCTGCAGGGTTTTGGAGCCGGCAACTTCAATGCACTGTTCAAGGCGTTCGAGGAGGAGCAGAACATGCGGGGCAACCTCACAGACCTGGAGCCCAACGGAGTGATCCGCGGCATGTAGACCCGCGAGTCCCGCCTGAGCTGCCGAGGCCCCGCCCACCTGCCAGCGCACGGCGGGCCACGCCCCCTAGCTCTGGAACACGCCCACCCCAGTCTCTGAACAGCAAGCCCTTCCTACTGGCCATTCCCTCTAGATTCCGCCCATCAGCTCGTTGGGACCCTCAAGGTTCCGCCCACCTCCTGACCACGCCCTCGTCCAGGGTAATAAAGCGGACAGGGATCCAATGCGGTGTCTTTTGGTGTCTGTGTGGGAGGCCAGCGCAGTGACGCCGTTTGGCCACCAGGGGGCAGCAGCGCCGCAGGAGGCGTCCGTGTTAGGCGTCGGGTGCCCCGCGGGAGCCGAGGCGCCAGGTGCAAGCGCTTTGCTAACAGGACCGCGCGGTCATGGGTAACTCTGGGACCCGGGCGGGCAGAGGGCTTACACTCTAGAGGGGAGGGCAGTATCGTTTCCTGAAGTGGTAAATGCTATCAAGAAAATAAAGCAAGGCCCTAACCGGTTTGGCTCAGTGGATAGAGCGTCGGCCTGCGGACTGAAAGGTCCCAGGTTCGATTCCAGTCAAGGGCATGTACCTTGGTTGCGGGCACATCCCCAGTAGGAGGTGTGCAGGAGGCAGCAGATCGATGTTTCTAACTCTCTATCCCGCTTCCTTCCTCTCTGTAAAAAACCAATAAAATATATTTTTTTTAAAAAGAAAGAAAATAAAGCAGGGCCCCGGGCGGCGTGGCTCCGTGGTCGAATGTGGACCTATGAACCAGGAGGTTCGGTTCCCAGTCAGGGCACATCGGGTTGCAGGCTCCATCCCCGGTGTGGGGAATGCAGGAGGCAGCCGATCAATGATTATCTCTCATCATTGATACTTCTATCCCTCCCTCTCCCTTCCTCTCTGAAATCAATAAAAATACATTAAAAAAGAAAAAGAAAGCGGGTGGTGAGACTGTGTGGAGGTGAAGCTGGAGGGAGGGATTACTTTCCATCAAGGGTGACATTTGGGGGCCAGCGTGGGAAAATTTGGAAAAACAGCATCCCGGGAAGAGGGAACAGCAAGAGTCAAGGTCTGAAGGTGAACCGCGCTTGGCAGCCTTCTCCTGTCTGGCGGCTTCCTGATCTCTAAAGATGAGCCTTTCCCAGCTTTGCTGCCCTGAGCCCAAACTTCTGGGCATAGAGAGGGGAGGGTTAGCAAAGAGACTTTGGGGGAGCATTCTTGCTCTGCAACCATGGGACATGGTTTCCGGTCTGAGAGGTAGAACGGGTAGGAGGGATCTGTGTAGCTCCAGTCCCCACAGCCTTGCTAGTTCATACTCAAGTGTGAATGACCCTTGCGAAAGAATGATGCAGTTGGGAGAGGAGCTACTAGTCCTAAAACTCTTGGAAGGAAAATTTTCTTCAAAATCAGACACTCAACCCATCCGGCCACACTGGCCAGGCTCTAAAGTAAATGTTAAAAAAATGGGCGGGGGGTGGGGGTGGGGCGAGTGGCCAGGGAGAGGTCAATGGGGAGGGGAGGGGAGAAAACATATGTAATACTTTCAACAATAATTTAAATTAACAAAAAATCTAGTGGGTCCCTCGATCACCCCACCACTGGATCAGGCAGAGCTGAGCCCTACCTGGAATGCCACAAACACTGCATATATTTCACTCTTCTCAACCTGTTTTATCCGTCCCCTCCCTCCTCAAATGCAGACAGAGCACTGCCCCCTTAAATGTCCACCATTCCTGAGTTCTAGTGATGGCAGCAGGATATTGGACCTGGTTTCCTTAACTGCAGACTATTAGCCGTGTTAGATTCCCAAGGTTTTAAGAAAGCGTCTGGACGGAAAACTCCCAAAAGCTGTGACTTGCCCGGCTGGCGTAGCTCAGTGGCTGAGTGTTGACCTATGAACCAGGTCACGGTTCGATTTCCTGGTCGGGGCACATGCCGGGGTTGCGGGCTCGATCCCCAGTGTGAGGTGTGCAGAAGGCAGCTGATCAATGATTCTCTCTCATCATTGATGCTTCTCTCGTTCTCTCCCTCTTCTTTCCTCTCTGAAATCAATTAAAAAATATATATTTTCTAAAAAGCTGTGACTCAGTTTAAGACCTGCTGGCCTGGGTGGACCGTATCACACCAACCCCCTCCTGCCCCCAGCACAGCCAGCCCACCCTCCACGGGGCCGGGTGTGCCCCCAACAGGAAGGAGGGAGAGGAGAGCAAGAGAGACGGCGTATCTGTAAGAAAAGTCAGTATATTTATGGTTTGCTTTATAAAAGTTACTATAATACAATGGTACATAGTATTGAATTCACAAAAATATGAACAAATATTTACAGCAAGACACACCCACAACGGAAACACTTCTCTTCAAAACAAGTTCCATACGGATGATAGAGCTAGATGCACAAACACCCCTAAAAGGTGAGGGTTCTTTTCTTTGGGGGAGGGGGGAGGGAGGAAAGGGGGGAGGGAACAGAAACCCCCAACTCTTCCAAAGCAAAGATTTGTTCAACGAAAACAAAGGCATTGAAAGAAAAAGGAGCCAACACATTCCTGGAAATGACAAGTCACTCCAGGGTTGGGGTGGGGGTTCCTGGGGACAGGGGGACGGCTCGGTGAGGCCAGGTCTCCCCACGTCCCCTCCACTTCCTCTGTTGGGGGGGGCGGGGAGAACACAGACAGCCCCTTGGGGGCTGCACAGTAACTGAAATCAGCCGTCTCTACAAACTACACATTTCCTCATGTGAAAAATAAATATTTCCTCGGTTGCACAATTAGGCAGAAAACCGCAAATGGGAGAGAAGGTCGCCGCTATGCCCAGGTTCCCCCTCTGTGTCTTCACGCCACCGATTTCATGGGCCTCGATGAGGTGGCGGGCACAGTCTCAAACAGAGAGGGCTTGGGGTGAAGAGATTGAAAGAAAGAAAGAAAAAGAACACAACAAAATCACCACCAACGACAAAAAAAAAAAGAGAAAGAGAAAAAATAACAATTCTTTGTACAGAATTTACATGATAACAAGCTTGACACAAGCTGAGATTCCAGAGGCCCCTCGCAGGGTGGGTGCCCACCAACAGTGAGGATGAGTCCTGGTCACTTTCCATAAATTATGTACACGCCTGTTCTGCGTCCTGGGGTGCGGGGGGACTTGTGTGATTTTTTTGTTTTGTTTTGTTTTGTTTTGTTGGGAAGTACAAAGAAATGAGCAAAAAAGTCTTCCCACGTGTTTCTACAAGAAACAATGTTCCCGAGAAAAAGTCCTTTACGGCCGCCTATATACAGAAGTGGGATCTGAACCTCGAACACCTCCTTCCCCCTCGGCTGGACTTTACACAAGCACGAGAGCCAAGTCCATGGACGTGAACCCTGAAGAGGATGATGGGGATGGGGGGGAGGAGGGGCTAAAAAAAAAAAGAAAACCTTGTCAGGTTGAGATCTGAATTCTGAAATCTTTTCCGAGATCTTCCTTTCTCTGGGAGAAATCATCTCACTCTGAAAATAAATATGCTCTTGATGTCTTAGGGCGCGTTGGGCTGGGGGCAGGCAGGTGACGCTTATAAACGAGGAAGTCCACAGGCATCCACGGTCAGACACCCGTAGCGGCGAGGCTGGGCCCCGCCTGCCCTGGGAGGCCCTCCTCTCGCCTGTGAAGGTGAGGACGGGGGAGAGTGGACAAGGCCCTTCCCAGTGCCCCGCCTGCCCACACCGGGGCCTCCTGCAGGGTCCTTCGTTGCTGGCATTTGAATGAGAAAGCAAACATTGAACCCAGATTTGGGTGGCAGAGCGCCAAGGGGGGAGGTTCCTGCCTGGGACCAGCTTGGCTCCACCAGGGTCGTCAAGGGGACGTGGCCCCCCCAGGCTGCTGGGGGAAGGCCAGCCTGGGGGTGGGGGTCTGTAGGGTCTTCTCGCTGAGTCCACTGGTAGAGAGGGGGGCCTTCCATAGTGTTCTGAGGTCAAAGCCACCTGCCAGACCCCCCTCTGTGCAGCACCTGGCGCAGCGCCCGGACGGGGGCCTCCAGCACGTGGGTCCACACACCTCACACAGAGGCCTCAGCAGTCCCTGCCGGGTCCCCGCTCTCCGCTTCTGCCTTCACATTTCAACGGTTAAAATGTCTTTTCTTTTGATAAGAAAATAAAGGGAAGACAAAACATCGTAGCAGCATTCACGGAAAGAGGCGGATGACAAGACGGGAAGGAGACAGGAGAGAGAGATGGAGAGCCGGGGACAGCGACACGGGAACAGTCGAACACAAGTCCTCGAGGGAGCACGCTGAGAAGCGACAAGACACAGGCTGACAGACAGAGAAGCCCTTTCCCACTGAGGGCTGGAGCCGGGGTCCTGGGGGTAGTGTTGGGGCGCCAGGCCCTGACGTGGCCGCTGGGTAGAGGACAGCACCTGAAATGGGGGAGGTGGGGCTGGGCCGGGGCCCCGGGCCTAGTTGAGAGTCCCCCGGCAGTTCTCGGAGTTGCAGAGGCAGGGGATCTTGACGTCCTCGATGGGGAACTTGTAGTCGTAGGTGATCTCCTCGTTGACGTTGATGTGCTGCTTGGAGTAGATGACGATCTTCTTCTGCGACTCCACCGTGATCACCTTGGCGTAGCAGTTGGGCTGTGGGCCAAGGGAGGGGACGGTGAGCAGAGGACCCCAGGGCAGCCTCCACCACCAGGGGCCCGCACGGAGCCCCGTGCCTGCCAGATGTCCCCCATGCCCACTGCCACCTGCTGTGGGCCGCAGCTCTCCCCCTGCCCTCTCGCCAGCCTCATGTTCTTACCCTACTCCATCCCCACTGCCCCCCAGCTGACCCTCAAACAGGTGTTCACCCTCCTGCCCCAGGGCCTTTGAACGGAACACTTGCCCAGCACTACCTCACCTGGGTGATTCCCTCCTGTCCCTCAGCCCTCACAGGAGAATCACAGGAAGGTCCCTACCAGCCCAGATAATGCTCAAGTCACAGCCCTGAGGGCAGCAGGGCTGAGAAGTCGCTGTGTCAGCACACTCAGAAGGCCTGCATGCAGGACACACTGGGTCCTCCCAACGACCTACCAGGAGGAATCACCACCATTCCCATTTTACAGATTAGGAAGCTGAGGCACTGAGACGTTCAGTAAGTAGCTTATGGTCACTGGCTAAGTAGTGACATCAAGACGTGAAACCGGAGTTAGGGGTGTTCTCCGGGAACAGGCTTGTCTCCTGTTTCAAGCTCCCTGTGCTTGTTTTTATTTATTTATTTGCTTATTTTTATTGGTTTCAGAGAGGAAGGGAGAGGGAGGGAGGGAGAGAAACATCAGTGATGAGAGAGAATCATTGATCAGCTGCATCCTGCACACCCCCTACTGGGAATCAAGCCAGCAACTGGGGCATGTGCCCTGACTGGGAATCGAACCATGGCCTCCTGGTTCAGAGGTTGACACTCAACCACTGAGCCATACCAGTCAGACTCCCTGTGCTTGTTTTCAGAGTGAAAAACACCCTTGTTATCAATGACACCTGTCCCACTCCAGACCTGCGAGATCCACCCTGGTTGTCACCAGCCACAGGTGAGGCATTTCAGTTTGAACTCGTATAAATTAAGATAAACACGCAGCTCCTCCGTCACTCCAATCACGGTTCAGGGCTCCACACGACACAGGGCGGTCCCGTGTCTGTGGACAGCATGAGAGCTTTCCCAGCACCGCCCAGACCGTGCCCCACGTCTCATTGTACCCATTGCACAGACGGGAAGACTGAAGCTCAGAGGAGAAAGGCTCCCTGCTTGAGGTCCCCCCGCCCCCGGAGGCACTCACGTTGCAGCTGTGGTTAATAAAGCGCGCAAAGTTGCCGCACTTGGTGGCGTCGATGATGGTGTCGTGGTCCACCCGGAACATGTAGCTGCTCCCGATGCCCTCGTCCTCGTAGCGCTTCTCCCGCATGTCTGCGATCACCTGCAGGGAACGGGCCTCAGCGGGCTGGGCCGCTCCCGTCCCCCCCCCCCCCCCCCCCACCGGCCACAGGGCGGCGCCTACCTGGCGGATGTTCTGGCCCACGTACTCGATGACCATCTCGTCGGCCGCGATGGGCTCCATGGCGAACAGGCCCCAGTCGTGAATGTGGCTCTTGCAGAATTTGAGCTTCTTCTTCCGGAACTGAGCGGAAGGAGAGGGTGAGGGTCCTGGTCTCGGGTCCCGTGCCACCCGGCGCCCTGATCGCCCGGCCTCACCTTGAGCTGGTTGAACTTGAGCAGGTCGCTGTCACAGCTGCCGGTGAAGGAGGACAGCAGGCGGCGCTGCTCCGAACGCCGCTCGGAGCCGGCCCGCGTGGAGGCGTGTGGCTGTGCCGGGATGCTCATGCCCTGCGAGGGGGCAGAGGCCGAGGCGGAGGCGGGGAAAGGTCAGGAAAGGGGCGCGGAGCCCCAGGAACGTGGTCCCACCGACTGATTGTCCCCTCTCCTCCCTGACAGAATCTGAGCAGCTCCAGCCCCTCAGTCTTCAAGATGACGACACACTTTCCCTCCCAGGCTCAGCTGGGGGACCTGGAATGGCCCCACTTCTCCACCAGAAGACGGTGGGCGTGTTTCCTCCAATCCCCGTGGCTCTCACCACGGCCCCTCACAGCTCCCCGAAAATTCCAAATCAATCATAGCTCCTGGTGCCACACCCTCGAATCCCTTCCTTCTCCAGGCCGCCCTCACCCGCGCACTGGTCCCTGCTGTGACCTGTGATTAGCATCTCCATGGTGACGATGCCCAACGTGCAGGTGCCACTTCCTTCCCACCTCAGTGCTTGGCATCCGGCTCCCCAGACCCGCAGGCCAGACCCACCCAATTCCCTTGTCTCTTATACCCAATCCAGCCCCCGTCCTGTCCATTCAACTTTCTAATATTCTAACATTCCTGCTATTCTTTAACAAGTATCCACTTTTGTCCTCACAGCCACCCCTTCCCAAATACCCGCACACCTGGAATGGAGACGGCAGCACCTGCCTCAGTCGCTCCCCAGCAGCCAGTGTGAGCTTGGGAAATCGTAGGCTGAACCGTGTCCCCCACACACGCTCTCTCAAATCCCTCCTGTGGCTTGTATACAGAATGCAAACCCACCCTGCACGGCCTGGTCTCTTTGGCGACACCTGGCCTGGCCGCTCCTTTCCCGAGTTCCTCCTGCCGCAGGCTGTCCTCTCCACAGGGGAACTGCCGGACCCAGTGGACCCCTCGGGTCCAATCTCCTTACGGAAGTTTTCCTCTGCGTCTCGGGGGTCTCTCCCAGTCACCCACATGGCTTGTTTCTTTACGTCATTCAGGTCTGGCTCAAATGTCACCTTCTCTGGCCCCGACTCGCCAAACCCTAACCTCCTGTCCTGTGGCCTCCACCTGGCATCCTATTTGTTCACTTATTTCCTATCCCCCTTAGGATGTAAGGTCCATGAGGAAAAGAATTTTGTTTTGTTCACTGTTCTGTAGCAAGTGCTCCACAGGTATCTGCTTCATTTAAAAAAGGAATCGCCTGGCCGGTGTGGTTCAGTAGTTGAGTGTCGACCTCTGAACCAGGAGGTCATGGTTCAATTCCCGGTCAGGGCACATGCCCGGGTTGCAGACTCAATCCCCAGTGTGGGGTGTGCAGGAGGCAGCCCATCGATGATTCTCTCTCATCATTGATGTTTCTCTCTCTCTCTCCCCTTCTCCCTTCCTCTCAGAAATCAATAAAAATATATTTAAAAAATAAAAAAGGAATGAGTGAGCCTTCTGGAAACACAACTGAACTCTGCTCACATCCCTGACTAAAGCTCTCAGAGGCTCTCCACTGCCCACCCGCACCTCACCACTCACACCGGAGCCACTAGGTAACAGCCTCCATGTGCCACAACCCCTCAACCTGCCTGCGCCCCATCCAGGACGACCCCTGCCCACTGCCCAGGCCAGAAGGCTCGTGTCTGGGCACCTGACGGCAGTACCTGGGTGTCTGTGGGGGGCTCGTCTGTGCTGGCGCGGGTGTTGTTGAGGTATCTGATCTTGTCCTTCTTGTCGATGGTGTAGAAGCCCTCGCTGCGGGCACAGCCTGTCACGTGCTCGGGGATGTCATCGTCCCGTTTCTTTTTCTTGGCCGAAGAGAGGCTGGTGGGTGGGTGTGGGTCAAGGGCCATGTGGACACTGATGGCAAACCCCTCCTGAGACTCACCCCACCGGCCCAGCCGTTCCACCCTCAGACCAATCTCCAGGAGGCTACAGAATCCAGACTCACGGCCCACAACCACACCACCTGGCCCGCCGGCCAACTCCACGGATGGCCAGAGCTCTTGTCAAGGGTACCTAGTTGCATAGCCCTGGGTGTGTTTTATAATTAACCACTTTCTGCCTCAGTTTCCCCATCTGTAAACTGGGTACATAACGGTGCCTCTCTGGATAATTACTGAGGTTTAGGTGCCTACCAGAGTTCCTGACACAAAGAAAATGCTCAATAAGTCAGTTTAGAACAACTGGGGAGATGAGTTACAACCTCAAAACACTGTTGTTAACAATCGACTATGAGGGTAGCATTGTGGTTAAGAGCCCACATTCTGGAGCCAGGTTTGCTTGTGTTTAAATTTCAGCTCTGCTACTTTGTAGCTGTGTGACTTCAGGCAGGTTGCTTAACCCTTCTGAGCCTTGGCTGCTACACAGATATAATGGGATGAATAGCCCTCGGTCCCTGGGCGGTTGGATTAAATTAGGTGATGGGAGCCCAGAGTGAGCAGGCCCTGTCAGTTCCTGCCACTGTGACGTGGTGCAGCTTCGTTACTACATGTGATTGGCTGAGACCTGCCGTCTGGGGGGTGAGCTGGGCCTGGCCTGAGGGTGTAAAGGTGCCAGTGCCGACTCCCTATGGGCACAGACACTGCCTCATAGGTGCCGTGGCTGTGCTCTCGCCCTCACGGGTATCGTGGGAGACAACTCGGTGGGTGAGGGCTCCCGGTGCCGGGCGGCGCGGCCCCAGCCCGTGTGGCAGGATATAAGGGTGGTAGACCCAGAGCGTGTCGTTGAGCCAGTCCATGCCGTTGTCCTGCTGCAGCAGCCGCTCGTAGGTGACACACAAGAAGCGGATGTCCTCCTCGTCGATGCCCCCGTTCCAGATGTCGTACAGGATGGTCATCTCCTCAAACTCCATCCGGGGCCGGAAGAGGGGCTGCGGCGGGGAGAGCTCGGGCGAGGCCGAGGACACCAGGTCCTCATGGCGCTTCTTGGGCGGCCGGCGCCAGGAGCCTCGCACCTTGGCCAGGTCCAGGAACTCCTCGGTGACACCCTCACGCCCGCGGGGACCCGGCGGGATGGCCTCAGAGAGCCACTGGTTCTCTAGCTCCTTAAAGGGCAGTTTGGTGGGCTCCACAGGGGGTGGGGGAGGGGGTGGGGGAGGCTGGGGAGGTAGGGGTGGTGGGGGGGCTGGGATCCCCGTGTTCCGGAAGTCCAGGGTCACAGCCCGGGGGTCGTGGGTGCTGGGGAAGACCGGGGTCTGTGGCTGGCCCGGCAAGAGCAGAAGGTCCCTGCCCAGGGCGGCTGCCCCTGGTGGCCGGACCAAGGCCCCATCCAAGGAGAGCAGGGCCGGTGGGGAGCGTCGGGGCCGGCCCGGCTTCCTCTTGATGGGGGGCGGGCAGGCGGCCAGAGGGGTGGGCAGCAGGGGTGGCAGTTGGGGAGGGGCCCGAGCTTGGGGCCGCAGGACAGGTACAGGCAAAGCCAGGGGCAGGGGCAGGGGCAGGGGCAGAGGGAGCGGCAAGCCCGTCTCCAGGAGCACCTGGGGCGGCAGCGGGCCAGGCCGGTCCTCGCGTCGGCCAGCGGGGAGGGGGCAGATGGGCAGGAGCAGGGGCCCGCTGGGCTCGGGGAAGGTGGGCGTGAAGGTAAAGTCCCGGCCAGGTGTCCTCGGGAGGCCACCGCTGCCCAAGCTGGGGGACTGGGATGGGTAGGAGAAGGGGCTGCCGGGCACCTGCGGGGAGCTCAGGGACAGGTTGCTGCTGCCCCCCGACAGCGGGGGCTCCCCGCTTGGGGTGGCCGGCACTGTCTCTGTGCTCTGCGACTTGGCCAGGCTGCCGCAAATGCCTGGCGTACGTGGGGGCTGGTCCTCAGGGGGCGGCTCCAGAGGGACGGGTGGGTGTGGGGGTTCTGGGGTCTCGGGCTCGGGCGGTGGGCTAGGTGGCCGGGGCGGTCGAGGGGGTGGCAATGGTGGCTGCAGAGGTAAGGAGAGCAGCAGAGGGGGCTCGGGCTTCGCTTCCAGCTCCTCCCCTGCAGAGACGGGTGAAAACCAGGCCGCTGTTAGCTGACTCAAACACCTCTGAGTGCGCTACTTCTGCCCTGCTATGCACTCGATACCTGACCAATGCATGGCTCTGAGCCCCCAAGACTCTTCTGAGTATAAAGACCGTGCCCCCAGCTAAACCCCTGAAGGACTGCTCGGCCTCCAGCCCAGTGTCAGGTACACAGTAGGTGCTTAATAAATGTTACAAGTAAATCAAAGGCGGAGACATGGTTGGAAGCCTTTGACACTGTCTTTAGAACAGTGTTCTGTGAACAGGGAATGTCCTGTGAACCAAGACAATGGGCTCTGCTATCGAATAAAATTCAAGTTTCTTTTGTGCAGGACTTGTCAGAGCGTTTAAGGTTTTCTCCAAGCGTTTATCTCCATTGCCATATACTGTGTTTTCTAATGTATCAGCTGTTACCTATAACCTTGCCCTAGAATCAAAGCTCTACCAGGGCAAATGTTTTTGTTTGGTCCACTGTTGCCCTGTTAACACCTAGAACAGTACTGGGAATGCAGTAGAGTCTTAATAAAATACTTGTGACAATAAAGACCTGTGGTTCTGTAGCCAAACAACAGAATTAAACACAATATAACAGGCTTCTTTCCTAAGGACTTATTAGAGGTACGAACTAACCCCTAACCACCTGGCTGAGTTTAAATCAATTAAAACTAAGTAACATTACAAACTCAGTTCCACAGGCTCCTCACCACACTTCAAGTGCTCTTACAACATTGTGTCGAGTGGCTACGGATTGCACAGGGCAGAGAGCAAACATTCCTATCGCTGTGGGGAGTTCTACTGGAGCGCACGGCCAGCCTCTCACACACTCTGTGCAGCTCTATCCCGACCGTGTCCCCGGCCGCTCTCACCTGGCCCAGCACCCCAGGGCCTCCCCGACCTGCCTGTCACTGAACCACCATGCACGCCTGGCCCTCTTTTTGGGGAGCATCTCATAGGACTATGGGACAAGGACTAATCTGTGGGGACACCGGCACTGAGGATGGTGACAGCTGGTCCCCTCTGAGGAACTAGCAGGTGCCAGGCTCTACGCTGGCACATCACACACCCTCCCATTCTCTCCTCCCACACCCCATGGTGGGGGCATTCTCCATCGATCCCAGTTTGCAGAGAAGGAAACAGGCTTGGGACAGTTCCGTGATTCACCCAGAGATTTGGCTCATCCTGGACCTCCCAGCGGCCGGGGCAGTTACCTCGGGGAGGCTCCGGGGACGCTGGGAGGTGGGCCTCCGTGTCTTTCGCAGGAGGCTCTGGAGACAGTGGCCTGGCCACTTCCTGGTTCAGACCTGGCTCCTTGGGGGGCTCTTTCACACCCACAGGCAGGGGCGGCTCTTCCAACGTGGGGGTCCGCTCCTCGGGGACCTCGTCCTCAGCCTCGATGTCCACTTCCTCTTCCGTCAAGGGCTCCATCACGGGTGCCCTCGTGGCCACCTCCTCCTCAAAGTTCTCAGGAATGGCGGGAGCCATGCTCTCATCTGTGGTGGCCTCCTCTTCCTCCTCCTCGTCCTCCTCCCCGGCCACCAGCTCTTCTTCATCCTCCGAGGATGACGACGAAGACTCAGAACTTGATTCAAACTCCGAAGACTCCGAACTCTCGCTGGAGGACCCAGCCCCAGCCTTGCGGGTGGCGATGCTTGCGGTCTCCTCTGGGCAGGGGACACAGGAAGGAGCCTGTCATTCCTGCTGCACCCCAGCCAGGTGCACCAGCAGAGGGCTCAAAGGGGGACCCTCAGGAACATGGGGCAATGGGTGTGAACTAGTCACCATTTGTTTAAATTGAGGTAAGAGCCACATAACAGAAAACCAACCATTTTAAAGTAGAGAATTCTGTGGTACTGAGCACATTGACAATGTGTGCAACCACCGCCTCAGTTCCAAAACCTGGCCATGAGCTCGAGAAGTAATCCATCCCCTGTAGCTCTTACCCCCTGCCCCCCACCCGTTGCCCCAGCAACCACTGGTCTGCTTCCCAGCCCCAGGGACTGCCCCTTTCCGGACATTTCACATGGACAGGCCCACAGGGTATGCGGAGCACGTGCTTGAAGGAGTTCACGTTGCAAAGGCAAGACATTGTGCCCAGAACGTGTTGGTGACTCATGTTCAGGCTCTGCCCTCAGAGGGACTCTGGCCGGGCCCGGGCCCACAGCCTGCCCCGCTCACCTCCGTCCGAGTCGCCTTCCTCCTTGTCACTCGCCTCCGACAGGGCCAAGTCTTCGTCTTCGTTCTTAGAGTCTTCCTGGCCGTCGCTGTCGTCATTGTCGTCATCCTGGCGGGAAGACGTGGAGGGGTGAGCACGGGGCCCCCTCACCCAGCCTGGCACCCCAGGCCTCCCCACCCCGAATGGCACCTTATCTGACATGGAGGAGGTGGAGGAGGAGGAGATCGGGCTTCCAGGGACCTCTTTCTCCTCCTCCTCTTCTTCATCCTCCTCCTCCTCCTCCGTGCTGTCCTGCCCCTCCTTGTCCGAGGCTGAGGACGAGGGCGAGGTCGTCGAGGACCCCGAGGAGGAGGACGCCGATGAGGATGAGGACACGGACAGCGACTCCTTCTCGTCCTCCTCCCCGCCGCTGTCCAGCTCCAGGGGCCGTCCCGGCCGCCGCCGCACCCCCACGCCCTTGGGGTCCCGCTTGGCGAGCTCGCAGGGGGCGTCTACCATGTCCCGGTCCCGCTCGCGCTCCGACTCTGTGGGGAGGGAGGGTGTCAGTGGGCGAGGAGGACGGGGACGGAGGAGACCCCAGGACCTGCTGGGAGACGGGGGGACATAGACCTTCGTCTTCCTCGTCCACGGAGGTCGAGGGCCGCAGCCGTTTCTGGTCTCCGGACGTGGCCGTGTCCGGGGGCTCCTTCCTCTTGACCTTGAAGGAGGGCAGGCGGATGGCCCCGCGCAGCCCGATGCCCAGGCCCAGGCCCTCGTAGCCCAGGCCCTCGCCCTTGCTCCACGACTCCAGCAGGCACGAGGTGATGCGGTCCTTGGGCTTCGGCCGGTCCTCATCCTTGTGCTCGCCCGACTTCACCGGGGTCAGCGAGGCCTGGGGTGCGAGAGGGGAGTCGCCGTGATTAGGGTGCTGCCGGCGACACCCCTGGGTGGCCCCCAAGCAGCCTGCCCTCTGCCAGTGTTGACAGCCGCAGGGTGACCGGCCGCTCCCTGCCTCCATGCCAGCACTCGGGACACCCTGTATTCTCTGCCTCACTGAGCCTCCATTTCCTCCCTGGCGAGTGGACCCCTCCAGCGTCCTATGCCAGGGCCGTGGCCGCCCCCTCAGAGACTGCGATTCCCCACAAGCATCTGTGTTACTGACACACGTTTCACAAACGACATTCGTGCTGGCCTGTTCTGAGGGCACAGCAGTGTTCCCAGGCGTGTGTCTTGGGAGAAGAGAGGGTGCTGGCGAGGCTGTCAGCTCGCGACCTGGGGCCGGCACTGCCCGCTCACCTTCGCCATCCGCTCCTTCTTATCCCACCACTCGTCGAAGGCCCGGAAGGCCACCACCTCCACCATCTTGCGGTTCAGGTCGCGCTTCATGATGGCCTTCAGCTCCTTGAGCACCACCAGCAGGACACCGTCCACGGTGGCCTTGTGGGGGTCCTCCTGGCGTGGCAGGTAGCCTGGTGGCGGCACTGATGGGTCGAACTTGGGCAGGGGTGGCCAGGGCTGCCCACGCCCTGGGCCCGTGTTGCCCAGGGAGAAGGGGTTCCGGTAGGGGGGCAGGTTGACAAACTGCAGCCCCGCCGCAGCAGCCATGAAGGGGGGGTAGGGGCAGGCGCCGTGGCCGGTCATCAGACGGCTCAGCATCTGAGTTTGCATCTGGAAGGACATGGGCATGCCGCCCCACTGGCCGCCCAGCACGTGGCTCATGTCCACCTGCATCACGGGGAACAGCCCTGGCGGGAAGGGTGGCAGAGGTGGCAGGATGGGCGGGGGTGGGACACCGGGTGGCGCTGGCAGAGGTGGCGGGGGCACTGGCACGGCTGGGTGGGCCGGGGGTGGTGGGGGTGGTGGTGGCGGCAGAGGTGGGGGCATGGGGAAGCCAGGCTGTGGTGGAGGTGGCGGTGGGGGTGGGGGCAGTGGTGGGAAGCCAGGGGGCGGGGGCAGCGGCAGGTTCGGGGCCAGCACAGAGGGGCCTCCCACAGCCGCCGAGCCTGGGGTCACCACCATGGGCTTGGGACAGTCGGCACTGGTGATGGGGGCTGAGGGCATCTCGTCATCTGAGATTTCCATGTCCTCACCGGAGGACTGCTGGCCCTACGGAGACAAGGGAGACAGCAGTGAGTGTGAGCCTGGGAGGCCAATCCAGCCCCCGAGCCCCCTTCCAAACATCGGCAAGTTGGAGGAGAGGCCTCCAGCCATGTGGCCCTAGCCAGTCACTTCACCTCTCTAAGCCTCAGTTTCCCCATCTGCATAATGGGCATCATAGTACCTGCCTCATGGGGTTATCATGAGGACTCAGTCATTTCACAAACATTTGCTCAGCACTGTCCTGGGTGCTGGCAACACAGCGGCGAACAAGACAAAATCCTTGCACTCACAGAGCCGGACTTCTAGAGCAGTGGTTCTCAACCTTCCTAATGCCGCGACCCTTTAACAGTTCCTCATGTTGTGGTGACACCCATTTCATTGTTACAAACTGAACATAATTAAAGCATAGCGATTAATCACAAAAACAATATGTAATTATATATGTGTTTCCCGATGGTCTTAGGCGACCCCTGTGAAAGGGTCATTCGACCCCCAAAGGGGTGGCGACCCACAGGTTGAGAACCGCTGTTCTAGAGGGAAGAGGCAGAAGGGAATCGGGATGAAGATGTGAATATACCGTCTGTCCTGGAGAAAAAGGAAGCCGGGAAGGGAGATGCGGTGAGAAGAGGAAAACAGATTCTGTTTCAATTTGTATTCAGAGAAGATACTAATAACTAACGCCTCTGCAGCTCTCCCCATGTGCCAGGCACCTTTCTGAGCACTTCACATACATTCACTCAGTCAACCCTACACAGCAGGTCTGTTATCTCCCTTTTCACTAAGTTAGAAATGGGGACACAGAGAGCTTCAGTAACTTGCCCAAGGCCACACAGCCAGCAAGAGGCGGAGCCAGGATTTGAACCAGAAGTGGCTCCCCAGCCTGGGCTCCCGGTCAGCCCACTGCCCTCGCTGTGGCAGAGAAAGCGGTGGAGAAGGTGACATGTGATCGGGGGGTGGGGGGGGGGTGGGGGGGGGTGTTAACAGCACTAAGGGTGCATAAATAGGAGGTAAGTCTTTATTTTTCCTTAATTACTCTTTTCATCGACTCTCATGACTGCACACTTAGTATGGGCCAGTGTGGGGCTGAGTGTCATTTCTTTTTTCACTTTGTTTTGTAAATGGAATGTATTGGGGTAACACTGGATAATAAAGTTATATAGGCTTCAGGTGCACAGTTCTATCACACACCATCTGTATGCTATGCTGTGTTCTCACCACCCCTTTCCCTCTGGTAATCACCATGCTGTCGTCTGTGTCTGAGTTTTGGGGTTTTTTTTTTTGCTTAATCCCTTCACCTTTGTCACAGCCCCCAATGCCCCTCTGACAGCTGTCAGTCTGTTCTCTGTATCTATGAGTCTGTTTCTATTTTGTTAGTTCATTAGATTCCACATATAAGTGAATCACATGGTGCTTGTCTTTCCCTGACTGGCTTATGTCACTAAGCATAATACTCTCCAGGCCCAGCCACGCTGTTGCAAAAGGTAAGGTTTCCTTCTTTTTTTACAGGCAAGTAGAGTAAATGCACCACAGCTTTTTGTATCCTCTTATTACTGACGGACACTCGGGCTGCTTCCAAACCCTGGCTATTGTAGGTGACGCTGCAGTGAACACACATGTCCCATTTCCTATCCGCGCTGTAACCTCTACTGCAGCCCCTCCTGACAGGCGAGGAGACACGCCAGAGAGTCGAAAGCCACTGGCCCAAGGGGCAGAGCCAGTCATAATCCGCCAGGACGCCGCCCAGAGCGGGGGCTGCTGCTGGTTCCGGGGACCTGGTAGCCACCCCTGGTGAACAGGGGAGTGGAGTCGAGGGTGACCCCGCTCTAAAACGGGCAAGGGCCAGTGTACACTGGGATGCAGGGGGAGGCCTGGGGTTGCACAGTGGAGGTGCAGCAAGAAGGCAAGCGGGGGTGGGGAGAAAAAGGCCGGGCCACCCCCAGGCTCTTCAGTCAGGACAAGAGGCGAGAAGCTGCCCTGGATGAACCTGGCTGAGACAGAGCCTTTTGTAAGTTGCAAGCCTGGGAGTGCGTCTGAAGGCTGAGGGGACGTCTGAAGGCTGAGGGGACGAGGTCTTGCAGACTGTAAGGTCAGCCTATAGGCGAGGAAGGCCTCAAAGGAAAATAGGGGGTGGGAGGTGGGGGTGGAGAGGAATAGCAAATCTATGGCAGCAGCAGCAAAAAGCCCTGGCTTTAGCTAGGTCCTCTCTATTCTCCTCTCTTCCTCTCCCTCCCTCCCACGGTCCCCAGCCTGTGAGAGCAGACTCAGCCTGCGGCTCAGGGACAGCGCCCAGAAGATCAGCCCTGGACAGCGCCCACAAGACAGGTGCCGCAAGCAGAGGGTTAACCCAGCCGGCCAATCGCAGGGAGACGGGATCTGCGCGCTTCAGCCCTCGGTCGGCCCCTCCCTCCGCGCCTGGGGTGAGAACCAGAACCGGTGGAAACAGCCCGAGCGCCCAGCACCAACCTGCACCAACCCATGCTGTGCCTGGAGCTTCCCTTGCGGCACCTCACTCAGGCCCAGACGGTGTGAGACAGGTGCTCTCACCATCCCATTTCACTGACAACGAAACTGAGACTCAGAAGGGAAAGTGCCTTCCCTAAGGTCGCATAACCAGTGAGTGCCAGAGCCGGGGCTCAAGGCCTGGCGCCTGCAGTTTTAACCACCAGTCTCTGCGAAGAAAGGGAATCTCCCCGACCAAGCGGGCCTCCCTGCGCAGCTCTCCAGCCCCCAGAGCAGGCGCTGGCAACTCCCAGGTCAGTCCCGAGGAGCCGGGATGCTGCTCTCCCGGCTGCCAGCAGGGGGCGCCCGAGGCCAGCCTGGAGGTAATCAGTGCTCCCAGGCTTCCCTGGGCTAAGGTCCTGAGGCATCCAGGACCCCAGCTCTCTGGGCCCCAGCCTCCCCGCCCCCCACTTCCCCACAGTGACTCGGTGGGAAAGCCCACCCTCCGACTACTCTGTGCTTCTCTGCCCAGCTGGTCAACGGAGGGAAGAAGGGAGGGCCGCTGGGCTGGCAACCCCCACCTCTGCACACCTGTCAACTCCCCAGGCTTGGACTCCTTGGCACCTGAAACCACTTCCCCAGAACTGCCTGAAGGCCCCTGGAGCCCCAGCCACCTGTGGTCGCTCCTGGGCAGGCCATGTCCCTCTCTGTTCCTCCCTGAGGCAGCCAAACCGGCCTAATCAAAGCGCCCGGGTGGGGACCCTCCTCCTGCCACCCACAGGGGCACTGTGCTCTGTCTAAGCCCCTGGCTGCTCATGCCCGTCGGGCCCACAGGTTCCAAGCGGGTGTCCAGGAGGGGGAGGAGTAGTCAAGGAAGGTGACCTAGTACCCGCCTCAGGGAAATGTGGCAGGCAGCACCCCCCCCACCCCCCCACCATCCTGAAGCTGGAGGTTCAGGCAATGAGACCTCAGGAGAGGATCTAAGGGTGAGGAGAGGGTGGAGGGTGGACAACTTGGCCTGCTCCTGGCTGTGGCCCTCCCCCTGCGCTAGCCCTTAACTCCTTCACTACTGGAGCCAGGGAAAGTGGGAGAAGGGAAACTTCAATGCCCTCCCTGCCTGCCCGCCATGGTTCCCCTTCTTTCCGGAGGCACCGGGTGCAGGAGACAGGGCTCCAGGGCTCCCACTTTCTCCCCAACCTTCCTGAGCCTCGGGACCAGCCCTGGATCATCCCTAAGGCACCCAACAGAGAAGGGAGCCCACACCATCACCACAATCCATACGCTCTGGACCTGGAAACTCCTACCAAAGAAGATCAAGTCAGAATGGGTCCCTAGGAAGCCTTGACTTCCCGTTCGCGACAGAACTCGGCCGCGTTTCCCTTCTCTCCACGGCTACTAGGGAACCTAAGAGCCAGACCAGCGGCTCAGTCACAGCCTCAGTGCTTTTCGCATCCTTTTTTAATTCTCTACAGCAGGGGTCCTCAAACTACGGCCCACGGGCCACATGCAAATACAAATATTGTATTTGTTCCCGTTTTGATTTTTTACTTCAAAATAAGATATGTGCAGTGAGCATAGGAATTTGTTCATAGTTTTTTTTTTAAACTATAGTCCGGCCCCCCAACGGTCTGAGGGACAGTGAACTGGCCCCCCTGTTTAAAAAGTTTGAGGACCCCTGCTCTACAGACTGACCTGTTATTTTGGCTGCTCTAGCCCTGTTGCTTCTATGTCTTAGCTAGTTGTCCAAGGAGAGGATGTTTCAAAGGGGTAAGGAGGGAGACACCAGACAGACAAAACCAACACTAGACAAGAGACGGACAGACAGGGTGGTACCTCATCCATCTTCTCTGAGGTCGGGGTCCTGTCTCCAGCCAGGTCCAATGTCACCTCAGTTGTCTGGCCCAGAAGACTGGTGGGGTCTGGGGGGCCTGGCTCGGGTGGGGGTCGGGGCCCCAGCCCCAGGTCAAGCTCCTCGTCCTCATCAGAGTCTGGTAGGGGCGTGGGGCTAATGTCCTCCAGGCCAGTGCTGGAGGGGCGTGAGGAAGGCGGCGTGGGGCCTCGGAAGCCCGGCTGGGAGTTAGTGCCGAAGGGAGCCAGAGGGGAAAGCTGGGAGGAGGAAGAGGAGATGGGGCTGCCCTCCATCTGCAGCTCCGTGTCCGAGTCCTGCTCTGGGAGGAAGGGGAGCTTGGTTCGCTGCTCCTTCAGCAGCATCTCGATGCGCGAGTCCAGGCTGTCGTGCGGCTTCTCCAGCCCCGCAGGCGACGACTCCAGGGTGGGGGTGCCCGGGCTGTCGCAGGGCTCGGGACTCCAGCCGAAGGTCGGCCGGCCACCCAGCTCTATGCTGTTGGCATCGGGGGGCGGGGGGCCGGGCGGTGTGCCTGGCTTCTCCTTGGTCCGGGGCTCAGTGGGCGGCAGGGGCGGGGGCGCCGGGGCCCTCCGGAACTCCCCACTGTCGCGGGCCCCAAAGGCGGTGGTGGCGGCGGTGGGCTCTTCGGGGGGTGGGGGGAAAGGGGGCACAGGAGTCTGATAGGGAGAGAAAGCAGACTTGAATGTGACTCCAGGAGCAGGGGTCGCTTGGGCGGGTGGTGGAGTGTGGGCGAACGTGGCTGAATCCTGTGGCTGGGCCTTGAACGGAGGGCCACCGCCGGCCCCACTGCTGCCGACCACCCCAAACGGGAGGTCCACGGAGCCCCTGAAGGTGGCTGTGGCCCCGGCCACCACAGGGACCGCAGCAGAGTTGTGGACATAATGATGCTCGTGGCGGCGGTTGTAGGCATCCGTAAACTTGCTCTCGTGGCGCCGGCTCTTGAAGGTCACGGTGGGGTCCTGGCTGAAGAGGTAGGAGGGTGTGGGCTGGCGGCTGGAGTAGCTGGAATCCTGCGAGAAGGGGGTGCCCAGGCGTGGCGTGAGCGGGGTGCCCTGTCCATAGGAGTTGGGTGTGTCCAGGCGGCAGCTGGAGTAAGCGGTGTCCTGGGAGAAGGGCGTCCCACCACTATTTGGGGTGACAGAGGATGAGCCAGAGCCACAGCCTGTAGAGAGGCCACCATCCTTGAGGCGCTTCAGGGCATCAGACAACTAGAGAGAGAGAGAGAGAGGGAGAGGTGTGAGATCACTGGGGGGATCTGTCCCCTTCTCACTCTGGCTGCCAGGAGTTCAGAGCCAAACTGGTGGCTTTAGAACTGCAACATGGAGAAGTCAGGCGCGTGGGCGGTTGGAGGGGCGCGTCTGGGGGGTCCTAACCTCTCTCTACTCTCAGGGTAGCCAATTATCCTCATGGGCTCTGGAGGGTTTTTCCTAATCCCTGAGGCAGAGAAAAGAGAAGATCCCAACATCCTGGTTAGAACTGGGATCTCCTTCCTGTCTCAGGCTGGCAGAAATCAAAGACCCTCCAGGCAGGGGTCTTGGGAGTGAGAGGGTGGCCTCCCAGAGTTTTGATTGACATACTATGACATGGTAAACGTGTCTAAGGAATCCAGCTGACCAGCAAGTGAACGGTCTCTTCATTCAGGGAAAGCTACTCCGGAGGGTGGCTGGGTAGACGCTGGGGAAGGGCTGGGATGGGAATCTCCCCAGGTGCAGGCAGACCAGGTGAGCATCCTGGAGGCGGGGACTGGGGGAGGAGTCAGTCTTGCTCTGGAACAGTGGTTCTCAACCTTCTGGCCCTTTAAATACAGTTCCTCATGTTGTGACCCAACCATAAAATTATTTTCGTTGCTACTTCATAACTGTAATGTTGCTACTGTTATGAATCGAAATGTAAACATCTGATATGCAGGATGGTCTTAGGCGACCCCTGTGAAAGGGTCGTTCGACCGCCAAAGGGGTCGCGACCCACAGGTTGAGAACCGCTGCTCTGGAAAGAGGGACCTGAACTCTGCTTTGGGGGAGCAGGGGGAGAGGGGTGCACAGGACATAGGATGCAGCCGTGTGGCGGCATCTACGTGGAGAGCGGGCTCCAGACGGGCTCTGGGGCTCTGTGCGTGGCCAGGCTCGGTTCCCTCCTAGGCCTCGGGGACCACATGAGGGAGCTGGTGACGGGAGAGGGGGCACTGATGTGAGAAACCCACCTGCAGGGCCTCATTCACGATGGGAGAGACAGCATCCAGCTCACCCACCGGCAGGGTCTGGGGTGTGTACCGGCCCGTGACCAACAGCTCGTAAAACCGCATTCGGGTTTCCCCTGTGGAAGGACCAGGGAGGCGGGATTCAGCCAGGTTCCCCGAGGGGGCAGCCCCCACAGGCTGGCTTCTTTGTGGGTCCCTGTGCCTGAGACCCCATGCCTGGGGAAGCTGTGTGAGCATAACCAAGTTCCCACCCCTTTCACCCTTCTCGGGAGCCCTATCTGCTCAACGAAGCTGCTAAGTTGTATGATTTTTCTCATCCTGAGACTCAGAAGTTAATGCCTCGTGGGGCTGGGATTCCCCCAGATACAGAAATGCCACCCCCAACACAAAGCCTCTTCCTGTCACCTGGACACCCAGAGAAAAGAGTCAGGTCTCCCAGTCTGTCCTCTCCCTTCCCCACGTAACAGCCAGGGCCTGGAGGCGCGTGGTGAGGAGAGGGGACAGTTTGTTGGTAACTGTTGGGGGCCAGGTGACCAGCAGTTTACAATACCAGGTTCCTGGGAATGCCACCTGCCTCTCCCTCCAAACAGACTCCCCAGCTTTGGGGCTGGTCCCACTGAGCCCTGTCTGGTGACCTTCTACCCCTCCCAGCAGAGAGAGGCCTCTATAGAGGGGCCCCAGATTACTGATATTTATAGAGCCCCGTGAGGCAGCTGCTTACATATGCAAAGGAGACGCATTCCTTGAGCTTCACTTTACACTTTACTGGTCTCTTTCTTGAAATACAAACTTAGCTGGCAGCTCTGAGGGCCCCCACCTTTTTTTTTTCTTCGCAGAAATGAAATTGTGGTGAGAGCTGGCTGCTCCTTCGAATAATGGGAGGGGGCTCCACCTTCGATTCTCAGGCCGGCAGCCACCCAAGGGGATGTAGATTTGAAAGGGTCTGTGCTCCCCTCGCAGAGACTGAGCAACTAGACCTGAGGGTGTGGGGGGCTGTGGCTTAGGGAGGAACCTTGGACTTGTGTCCCTAGGAGACTCAGAATGAGGTACAGCTCAGCAGAGTTTAGGGGACAACAGAGCCCACCCAGGACCAGCAGGGTCTCAGAGACTCAGCCAATATGCATTCATCATTAAAAGCAAAAATAAAGGATTAGCTTTTTCTGTCTTGGGTTTTGTGTGCCCGGGTAGCTCGAAACACCCCTGGAAGCCGCCCACCTCAGCCCACCCAGAGGCCTCGAGGGGCTCTGGACCCAGTGACAGTATCTGCTCAGTCACAGGGCCGGCTGGTCCTCAGAGTGCCGGGCACCTATCCCAGCTCCTTCTGTCTTGGTGGGAACTGGAGTCCGTGCTCACGCCCTCCAGCCAGCATTCAGTAGGAGCCTCCCAGTACCCACAGGGTGGGAGGTGTGGCCTCCCCAGCCAGCTGCTCCCAGCAGCCAGCAGGGAGTGAACACAGTGCAGGGGAGGTGCTGCTGTCTCTTTAAGAGAGAGGAGGGACGACACCGTGTCAACCCTAGAGCACCCAGAGCAGCCCGCCCCACACTATCTGGAACATTATCAATGAAACCACACTCTGGGCCCAGATTGGTTGCCACTTCCAGGGGGAAGGGGTGGCATGCGGGGAGGGGAGCCCTGGATCCTTGGAGGACTCTCCTTTTAGTTGAGGGACATACTCCTTATGCATTTAAAGGCATCCTGGTCGCTCTCCCTCATCTTCCCCCCCCCCCAAAATAAACAAACGCAGACTCCTCCCCTCACAGAGGGCAACCCTGGGGACTAAGCCCAGGCCACCGGGCTCTAGAGGGTCCCCCCTGGGTGTCGGCGGTGGGGAAGCCTCGGGATGGTCCCCAGAGGCACAGTGGCCAAGGACCCGCACATTTGGTAAATTACAGCTGGTCTCCTAGCAACAGACAACACATTTAGCTCCACGTGACTCTAGCCTCAGGAGGGGGGCAATCTTTTTTTTTTTAAAGATTGTAGAGAGGCATTCAAGGAAGAGTGTGGGGTCCCCCACTCTGCAGGAGGGGCTCTGGGAGGGGGAGGGGCCGGACTGACAGGTCTTGAGCTCCTGGGGGAGGGGGGGGCCTCCTGAACCCGCCTCCACTCACCTTTGGTGTCAAGCTCCACGTGGATGATATTGCCCATGACCGAAGTGCTATGCAAGTGCTGCACCGCCTCCTTGGCTCCCCGGACCGTGGCGAAGACCACCTTGGCGATGCCCAAGTGCTTCTTGGTCTTGGGGTTGTACAAAATCTCCACTTCCTCCACCTCCCCATACTTCTTGCACATGTCCCTCAGGAAGTTCTCGCGAATGTTATCGTTCAGCTTGGCAAATGTCACCTGCTTCGGAGGCACCGGGCCCACGTAGAACTCATCGATCTGGCAGGAGACGAGGAGGAAGGGAGTTTGGAGAGCATTGAAATGGAAGGGAAAACACAACCTCCCCCCCACTGGCCTGCCCTTTGAAAACAATGAAGGGTAAAAAAAAAAAAAATTAAAAAAATAAAAATTGGGGGGGGGGGGGGGAATGCACGCGGGCGGGCCCGGGAAGCAGAGGATTAAATCGTTTGGAACGTGGAAGTCCTCCGGGTTCGAAAGGAAAGGGGGGAAAAGAAACAGTTTCTCTCTCCCCTGTCCCCGCCTCTCCGGCCCCCCATTCTGGCCTCCTCTCCCTGCTGCCCAGTCCAGGGCGACCCCTTGGGCTCGGAAGTTGTCCCTCTACAGCCACAAGGCTGGGGAGGGGGGCGGGTCCTGGGGCCAAGCCCCCGGGCCGGCAGGAGCCAGGTGGGGACCCGCAGCCCCCAGCTGGGCGGGCAGGACATTGTAGCAGCGCCTCGATTACAGTTTCACCGCAGCGTTATTCTGTTTACAGCAGCTCGGCGGGGACGCCCCTCTCGCAGCAGCCTCCCCCTCCCCGCCAAAACTAGCCCGTCCGGGACGGCGGGAACTCCGAAGGCGGCCGGGCTCCGGCTGGGCTGGCGTTATTTTCGAACTCGGGGAGGGGGAGGAGGGGCCGCGGGGCAGGGGGAGGGGTCCTACCTTGAATTTGGGCACCGACAGCTCCAGCTCCTTGTTTTTGGTCCAGATCCCGACCACCCGGGGATCTTCGACAATTTCCACCGGGCGGTTGCTGGACATCTATAGGGAGAAACGGGGGGCGGGGGGCGGGGTGCGAGGGTTGGTCCCACTCCCCAGGGCCAGGGGCAGACCCCCTCCTGCTCCAGGCACTTGTCAAACTCCAGGGCTGGGGACCGGGCTGACAGTTGGCCGGGTGGTCGGGACGGGGGGTCCCCGGGCCGCTCGGACCCCGCTCCCGGGGCACAACCGGGGGTGGGTAGGGGCGGCGGGGAGGCGCGCCGGCTACTCACCGCCAGGCTGAAATGCTGCCCATCGTAGCGGTACAGTTTATGGTGTCCCTTTTTCAGAGCCGGGTCAATCATCAACTTGTAACTTCTCCAATGGTGGTTCCTCCTCTCGCCCGACGGGCCGGGCTGCGGCGGGGGCTGCTGGTGGTGGTGGTGGGGGTGACTGTTCTCCATGCCGTTAACCCAACCTGAAAACCAGCAAGTTGTTGTCGTCTCCGCCGCGGCGGCGGCGGCGGCGGCCGCTTCCACACACACTCGCCCAAGAATCAAATCGTCCAGCCCCCACCCCCTCCCACCTTACCAGCGCGCCCCAAAAGGCGCTGTCTCGCCGGCTCCCCCCAAAATAAGAACAGAGCGAGAGAATAACCCTTTCGGGAGAATTAGAAGCCCGCCCGCTCGGCCACCGTCTCGGGGAGACAGCGAGGGGCTCCCGGGGACCCCCGGAGCGGGCTGGCGGGGCCCGGGGCGCCGGGAGGACGCGGGCTCCGGCCCATGGTGCCGCCCGGCCGCCCGGCGTGGCGCGCACTCGCTCGCTCGGCCCGGCTCGGGCGCGGGGCTCGCGGCAGGCCTGGCTCCGCCCGCCCGCCCGCCCGCCTGCTCGGCCGGGGCCCGGGGCCGAGGCTGGGGGCTTGGGCCGCCCGGCTGCCCGGCCGCGGCCTCTCCCTCCCCGAGCCGCGCTTACATCCCCGCCGGGCGCCGGCCTCCCTGCGCCGCCAGCCAGTACATGGTGTCCCCCGCGGGAGCCGAGACCGGGGCTGCCGGACGGGGGGCCGGGAGAGGGGGGAGCCGCCGCCGCTGCTGCCGGGCCCGGAGCTGCTGCTGCCGCCGCCGCTGCTGCTGCTGCTGCCCCGGAGGCGGCTGGCGGCGGAGGCTCGGCTCCCAGTAGCCGCACATCCCACAATACACCGCTAAGGAGCCCGACCCGAGCGCTCACCCTCCTCCTCTTCCTCCTCCTCTTCCTCCTCCCCTCGCCTTCCTCGCCGCTTCCCCAGGCACTCGCCCGGCAGCGGCAGCTGCGCCGCCAAAGCCTGGGCCCCAGCGGCCCCCCACCCCTCACTCGCGCGCTCCCACACTGCCTCCCCCCTCCCCAGGGGAAGGCCTTTTAATTTATTTATTCTGCTGGGACCTAGGTGGGGGTCTTGGCGGGCGGGGGAGGGGGTCTCCCCGGGCTCTACCTCCCGCGGCTGAGGCTGCCCTTCGAGCCGCGGCGTGCGCCTGGGCCTCCACTACTGTTTCCAAACTGCCAAGGCCGGGGGTGGGCGCGTGGGGGCTCGGGGAACAGGGCCCGGGTTTTGGGGTGTAATCGTGTGTCTGGACGCTGGAGCCGCGAGGGGGGGTGGGGTGGGGGAGGCAAGACGACTCCAGACGAGTTGCAATCGAGGTATCTCCGCTCCGGCTTCCTCTTCTGCCCGGCGACCCCCTCCCCCCTCCCGGAGCAGAGCCTGGGAGGGGAAACCAGGATTTTAACCAAATTAGCATTCACATTCCTGGGAGGATGCAGCCCTCGCCTGGACCTGGCTGATACAAGCTTTTTGCTCTGTTTTTATTTTTGGAGAGCAGAGCCCTGTAATTGTCCAGAACACATGCTTCTCCCCCCCCCCCACCTTCCTCCTCCAGCCACCGGCCGAGGAGAGAGTCCCCCCTTTTTTGCATTTATCTTTTCCTTCCCCTTTCTTTATTAAAGGTCCGGGCGAGGCGGCGGCCAATCAGCGCGCGGCTTCCATCTTGTGAGTTCAACTCCGAGGCTCCCGGGCGCCGCGAGGACGCGTTTGCAGCCCCCTCTGCCTCCCGGGTCGGGCGGCCGAGGCGAGGGGCCGCCGCGCCGGGGCTTGGTGGAGGTGTATTTCATTTTGGGGCTCTTTTCGGGGTTCGTAATGTGGCCGTGGGTAGGTAATTGGCTGGAGCAGGGCGGCAGGGCGCGGCAGCCAATCGGCGCGCGGCTTCTATAGGGCTTGAGTTATTAGACGCTGATCTCAAAACATCCTTCATCAGACACCAAGGAGAGGCCAACAGATGAGGGGAGCCATTTTTCTGCAATGGAATTAAATGGCCAAGTGGGTTTTTCCTTTGTTGCAAGTGGGGAATGCTTTTTCCTTTGACTCCACCATCCAGTTCAGGACGCCTCAGTGTTGTGTTTAACATTTGTCAACAGGCTAAAGGACTCACAGTTGGAAGAATGAAGACTTTTTTAAAAAGATCTGGATTTTTCCTTATGACTTGGAATCCATCTTTGTCTTGTATAACTAGGTCATAGCACACCATTAATGTCAGCAGTTAACAATTTCGAATTCCAAAAAAAACTAAGTAAATGACATATTTAATTTTTTTTTCCTCTTTTATTTTCTTGGGTGGGTGGTGGGGGGAGCTTGGAGCTGTCTTAATCTGTATTCTCTTAACTGAACAATAAATTTTTAAATATATATATAGTTTCCTCTATTAAACACTTAAACCTGGCCATCTTATTAACTCCTCTCTTTTTTTAACAAGGTAATGTTTTAAATGTATAGTTTTAGGACTAGCGAAATGGCAGCAACAACAAAAAAAAACTGTAAGCAGTCGTTAACTCTTTTAAGTTTTTAAAAAACCTTTTACATTGTAAGTACCCAGTCCATTATGTCCTTAACGCAGTGCAGTTTTCATGTTAATGTCGCTGAGATGTCCTTAATTTTCTGAACCTTCATCTGCATGTCTGTCTTTGTCGCTCTTGTCTAATAATATATAAGCCAGTTAAAATGCTTTTAGACGACTTTGCTTTTATAAAGCTAAGGCTTGAGCTTGAAGCTTTTTGAAAATGTTTACAGCAGTAAATGCCAGTCAGCTTAATTCCCAGTAACAGGTACACTTTCTTTGAAAATCGATCTGTTTGGAGGAAAACAGCTCTGTTTCTCTGGTCTTGGTAGTGGGGTGGGTGAGGGGAAAGGGAAGACCTCTTTGTTAAGAGACTAAAAGCCGTCACAGGAAACTAGATTAAAACTGGAGAACAAGTCCTGGCTGGTTCGAGCCAAACACCAACGTTAACTCGTGGGTATTTTCTATGGTGGTTGGGATGGCCGCGTGTCTTTTTGCCTTTTGTTTGATTTGATTGTGTGTTTTCGCCTTTTGTCTCTTAATGACGGTCACACCATTGCTATATCCAGAGCAGTAAACAGCCCTCAGCGAAGCCGCCTTTTGCCAACCCAACCCTGGAAAGTTCACAGAAGTGGAAGGAGCAGAAAATGCCATGAGAATGTAACTTACAAAAAGGTAACAGCAGCAACAAAGGCACCACCATTTCCCCAGATATTCCCAACTAAACAATCCCCCACAAAGATATTTTTTTTCCCCAATAACAATCTCCCAACCCTCCGCCCAGCTTGATTTGCAGACTCCATGGCACCGGGCTGAACGGGTAAGTTAAAAAAAAAAAAAAAAAAAGTGCCTTTTGTCCCTTCGAGGAAATCTGTTTTCCGAGCAGGCCAAAGGCTGCAGATGTGTGGGAGCTGAGGGGAGAAGGTGTGTGCAGCTTTATGCTTGACAGCCGGGTCCGGGAGGGCTTGGGGGCCGAGGAGGGCTCTTCGGACCCTGTGCCCCTTCTGCCCGGGAGGCGAGAGGGGGCTCCCCGGCGACCTCGGGCATCCACGCAGCTGCCTGCGCTCGCCCCTCGCTTCTCTAGATCTGAGCTTGGGTGGGGAGAAGAAATTGCAGTGTTTTGGAGGTGGGGGTACTCAGAAGGCGAGGAAACGTCCCCGCCAGGCCTAGGGGACGCTTTCCCTTTGGGCTGGGGGGTCTGGCACCCCGAAGCCGGCACTCGGGCTCCCGGGCGCGCCTGCGCTCCCCGAGCCACCAAGGACAAAGGGCCGGCGTCCATGTTGGCACCATGACGCAGCACCTCGCCGCCTGCAGCCCTGGCGCCGCCGCCGCTCTCGGCCGCGCTCGCTCCTCCCTCCCAACACGAGTTTTATTTTCAGGTTCTGAGCCGAGCTGGGGCCGGGCGGCTGCTCATGGCGGCCGCTCTGCTGTCCTCGTCCTTCCTCCCGTTGTCGTTGCGAGCCCGGGGCAGGTGGGGGTCCTTGGGCAGAGCTGTACCCCGAGAACCCGCAGGACACAGAGCCCCGAGCCGGGGGCTAGTCGCGGAGACCGTTTCGGGGGGCCCCCGGGCTTGGGGGCGTCGCGCGCTGGGGCTTGGGCGCTCGCCTCCGCGGGGTGAGGCGCACAGACCGGCGCCATTTCGCGCGCCGCCCGCGGCTCGGGCGGTGGCGGCTGCTGCGCGCCAGGCGGGAGGAGCGGGGGGAGGTGGCGGGGCTGGGGGGAGGGGAGGCCGGCGCACCGGCGCCCACGCTCCAGGCCTCCGCCTCCGTGGACGCCCCTGGCCTGGGGGCCTCGACGTCGAACTCGGGCTGCGCAGCTGGCTCGAACCCCGCACCCGGGTCGGAGAGCCCCCGCGGGCACCAGGAGGCCTGGCTCCCCTCCCTTTCTCCCGCCCGCGCAGGAGCCAGTAGCAAAGGGCCACGGGGGCCGATCGGGGCCTCGAGGCCGCCCCCTGCCCCCGGGTTGCACACCCGGGCCTTGGCGCCCGGGTCTGGCTCGCAAGAGCCCTTTGATAGTCGAGCCCAAGGCGCAGGGGCCCTCTTTGTCCCCACTTTGGGCGTGAGGCCCTCGTGGAAGCCACCGACTCTGGATCTGGTCGCACAGGGCACGCCCTCCAACCGGCGCTCTAGAGGCGGAGGTGGGGGTTGAGGCCTGGGAAAGCTGAGCTGGCTTTCCCCGGGGTCCCCCCCAGGCGGAGGGCTCCCGGGTAAACATCGCTGGCCCAGGCTGGGGGAGGGGATGCGAACGGGGCGGGCCTTTGGAAATGCAGATGAGTCGCCTCCTGCTGCTGGTCGCCCGAGCTGAACCTTGGTGACTCAGCCACACACTCGCCCCCTCCCCCCCGCACACACACCCTTAACCATTCCAGAGTCAGGGCGCCTTGGCAGCTGGGGCGGGGGGGAGTGGGGGGGGGGCTTAGGCGGTGGCGGTGGCATTTGTAGGGATCCCCTGTCGTCCAGGAGATCCTGTCTGGTTTGTGGCCGTCAACTCCCTAACAAACGCTCCCACTTCTCCCCACCCCCCATCCCCCAGGCTCTTGGCCAGAGAAGCGGTACCCCCAGAACGGACCGTCCTCCTCTGGACAGCAGGAGCAGGCCTAGTTTGATTCTGACAGTCCTACTAAGGTAGGTGTGCGCCCTTTCCCAACCGGCAAGGGAGATGTGGGGGTCTTTGGCCTGGAGCCCGGGGAGGGCGGACGCCTCAAACCGGCTAGGCCGGTTCCGCAACCCCTCCCCCACACAGATGTGTAGGACTGTGTGTGTGAAATCGGCGGCCTGCTGGGCCCATCCATCCCCGCCTGTCAAGCTTCTGTTGTCAGGAGTTTGGGGCCTGCAATTCTCTGCCGTATTTAGTAGCACAGGAGAGGCGGCCCTGGCCAGGCTTTCCCAGCGGTGTTTTGTGGTGGGGGGAGGGCCCTGGATGCCTCTGAAAGACTCCTCCGCTGCCAGGAAGCCCCGCCCTGCCCCTTCCTTCCTGCCCCGAGTCGGGGCGAGTGGGGTGACTCTTGAGCTGGCCTCTTCTGCTGCCGTGTCTGGCTGCCGGGGAGGTGAAGCACAGGACCTGAGGCCTGGGCAGCTTCCTTGAAGAGATTTCCTGCCTCTTCTGCTTCCTGGGAATCCCCACGATCTCCTTTGCAACCCCACAGCCAAACCAGCCCTGTTTTAGAGTCCCACGAGCCGGCTAGCTACTTGCCTGCTGTTGCCTAGCACAGGCTGCACAGTCTCTGGGCCCATCGGCAAAGTGGGGGTAGGTCGGCGATTCTCGAACTAGCTGGCAGCCCCGTCACACCGTGGCACTGATTCTGGGCCTGTCCTGAGTTTCCGATTCAGTAAGTGGGGCCCCCAAACTTGCATTTCTAACAAGCCCCCGGCTGGTGCGGGTTCTCCCATGTGGGAACACGTTTTGAGAACTTTGGGGCTAGGTAACACCTGGGGTGTTGTGAGGCCAAGAACTCGGTGCTGGGCACGGCGTCGCTGGCCTGGTAATAATGGCAACTCCTCCTAATTCTCCCAACACAAGCTCTGCACGCTGTTTCCCACTTGCTTCGTCTCTGGGAAGGGAAGCTCCACAGCTGGAGACGGTGTGGCCCTTGATCTCGGCCCCCTCCCCCAGGTGGTCTCTAGAAGGTGATGACTTTGATGAACCATTTGGGCCAGGAGCCTCCGATTGAACTGCCTCCCCCGCCCCCGTTTGGCTCCCAGCTTGGCTTCTGTATCCGTATCCGATCAGCCCTGCCCACTTTCACACCACCCCTCAGTGTGAGGGCTAGTCTGAGGTCTGGGGGAGCCTGGAGGGCTTGACCTGAGATTTTGTTGTGGGCATCTTGGTGCTGAAGCAAGGGAGGCTCTCAGTCAGGCAGCTGTCAGCTTGAATCTCCACAGAGCTGGTGACCTTGGGCCAGTCTCCTGTGTAAAATGATAAGGATGCGTGCCGAAAGGGGTGTTGGGAGGATTAAGTACGATTAAGGGGGCCGGCCTCACGTTGAGGCTTCACACTGGTCGGCCTCCATTCCGATGTGGCTGGAGGGAGTGGAGGCTGGGCTGCCGTCCAGCTCCTCCCCCACCGGCCCACCCCGAGCACGTGGCTGAGCCTCCGGGCAAAGGGGAAGGCTCCAGGGGAGAAGGCTGGGAGGCAGCGTCGTTCTTCCTCCTGTGTAGTTGGAGTCAGGATGGTGGTTTACCCCTCCCCTTCCATGATCAGTCATGATGGGGGGGGGGGGGTCGCAACCCCGCACTGGAGTATAAATTACCCAAGGTCAGGAGGTCACCACAGGCAGCCAGGACGGGGTTCCAGGTGTCTTGACTAACAGCCAGCGCCTGTGTCCATGGCACCCCCTTGCCCCAGCTGTCTGGGTTATTTTGGGCTCCCTCCTGTGCCAGCTGTCTGCTGGCATCACTGCTGGGAGCAGGAAGAGCAGTCTGGTTGAAAGTAATCCGTGTGGTGCACTTGGCTGCTTCTGGCTACCATGCCTCTCCAGTCCCAGATAAACCGGGCTGGGTCCACCTTGTCCTTCGCTGGGGGCCAGGGACGCACCCCGCCGCACCTGCACCCGTCTCTTACCTGGCATGAGGGGAGGGGAAAAGCTCTTTGTAAAAGTTGATGAATTATCCCCTTCCCTCCCAGACCTCCGGTTTAAATTAAGTTCAGCTCCTTACTGAACTCTCAGCCCTCATAAACTGCTCAGCCGCCTGAGGGTGGCCTGTGTCCCTGAGGATAGAGCCCCGAGGCTGGGGGTGGGGGGGCAGGGGTCTTTACCTACTGTGGCCTCGGATTGTTCAATATAATGGGTTTAAACCCTCCCCTTATGGCAGCTGCCTGGAGGGACGCAGCCTGTTCTTCCACTCCCGCCCCGGGACCAATTAGGGAGCAATTAGGTGCTAAACTGTGGTCTGGGTGTGATTCTTGGAAGGGAGAGGTGTCCCCATGACCTGGAAGGATCCTCTTCAGGGCACCTCCTCCCCGCTTCCATTTCTCTTCCACCCCTTCCACATTTTTTGTGCTACCCGCCCTCCCCACCCCCATCATCTCCTGGGGCAGGGAGGGGCGGGGCAGGCTGTCATTCCTCCTTGCCCAGAGGGCGGCCCCGCCCACCGATCACCCAGGGGGCGATGGGCGGGCCGCTCCTGGCGTCTGGCCCTTGGGGCTGCCTGGAGAGGGCCTGGCCGGCCGGGCGGAAGGGCGTGCCGCTGGCGACGGAGGCCGGGAGGCAGCCAGACCTGCCTTACCACCGGACGCCAGGGTCCTGCCTCTTCCGGCCCAGCTACCGGGAGCCCAGCGTGGAATATGACCTTTTGGACCCTCTGGGTGGAGACGACTGCGTGGACTGTGGAGAGGCACCCCGCCATCTCAAGGCCATCTGGGTCCACCGCTGTCTCCAGCTGGTCTGTGACCTTGGCAGGACCCTGCTCCGCGGGGATCTGTGGTCTCCCCACGGAACCAGGAGGAGGAAGTTGGTGGATAACCTTTTGAGCCGTTTCTGAGCCTCAAAAGGTGTGTGGGGAGCGTTTGGTATGGCAGTGACTCCCCCGGCCACCGCCCATCGCTGGGACCTCAGAGAATAGCTCAGTCTCTGAAGGCTCGGTGTCTTCAGCCTCACGTGGAGTGGATGACCCTGAGGTGTGCCGTGGCTACTCAGGATGTTCTGAGGCACCAGGGAAGCGGGACCATAGGCATGTCACTGACCATCCTCACCTGTGCTGCCAAATGAGTCTGCCCCACAAATGCCACCTGGCAGCTCCCCTTGGGGTCTGTGGCAAGGACCTGTTTAAAGTGTCTTTCTTGTCTTCCTAAACCTCTCCAGGAATTCCTGGTGAATAGAAGAAGAATGGCCTGGGTCCCCAGAGCACCTCACAGGTAAGGAAGCAGGGCCCCCCGGCTTGTGGGAGTACCCAGGTCCTCAGCTGCCTGCCCTGACCCTGCCGCCTCTGAGCCGCTGGCTTGGGGAGTTTTAGCTACAGATCCAGCCCCTACATCACACTGGAGCTGGGTCCAAATCAAACACGCTCCGTGCTGGCTGGGGCTGGGTTCTGCCAGCCTCTTGGCCAGGCAGGGGCGGGTGGGCTGGGGCCAGTGTCAGCTGTTCTGCCCGGACCCAGACAGGGCTGGACAGACTCACTCTTCCTCTCCCCCTCCTCTCAGCCTTGTGTAAGTAAGTGGTTTGTTCTGTCATAAGTTAAAATTGCAGCCCCATCTCTGAGATGGAAAGTGGAAACTGAGGAGTAAGGATTTTGAGGATAGTCAGGAGTCCTCCCACAGGCCCATGGGGTTAATTTCTAAGTGCATTCTCCCCAGGCCCCTCCCCCTCTTACTCTCCCAGTCCCTCCCTACGCTTTAGGGTTCCTGCTTTAGGGTCACTGCTGTGGCAGGCCTGAAATGAGAAGGTTGCAAAGATAAGTGGTCCTCCTTCCTTCGTTGGAAACCTTCCTCTTCCATCCTTCCCCTCCTCCTGTGGTCCTGGGGTCATTTTCTGACATGTGTCTGGACCTGGTCTCTTTTTTTTTTAAATATATTTTATTGATTTTTCACAGAGAGGAAGGGAGAGAGATAGTCAGAAACATCGATGAGAGAGAAACATCGATCAGCCACCTCCTGCACATCTCCCAGTGGTGATGTGCCCGCAACCCAGGTACATGCCCTTGACCGGAATCGAACCTGGGACCTTTCAGTCAACAGGCCGATGCTCTATCCACTGAGCCAAACCGGTTTCGGCAAGGACCTGGTCTCTCCTCCTGTCAACCTCAGGCTGCCTCACCAGCCAATCATAGCTCCTCTGAAGAGAGCTTGAGGGTCCAGTTTGGCTGGGCCAGTTCAGGAGCCTTCTGTCCAGCGCCCCCTGCTTGAGCCTGACAGCTAGGCCCTCTGTGGGCTAACCCTGGTTACCTTGACAACAGCGTCTGGCCTCTATCCTCACTCCCCCGCCACTGCCAAACCTGCTGGGGTTTTCCAGCCACCATGCATTTGCCCAGGCTGGGTACCCATCTGGCCTGCTCTCCGAACACTGCCAAGCTTAGTTCACGTACCAGCCAGCTCTCAACCTCCTCTGAGCTCCTCACAGGTAGGAACACAATTTCCTCTCAATAAACTTGTGTTGCAAAAAAAGAATGAATGAGTTGCTGTAAATTTTTCTGAGGGTGCTTGACCCCACTGATGCCACCCTACAAGCTTAACTTACCTCCTCTTCCCAGCTCTGTCTCTTTCGGGGCTTCCACGGGCGGTCGCTGCTGCCCTCTGGTGGTCAGACCCTGCCTTGCATCCGCTGAAAACCTTGACCCTGCATTTATGGAACTGCCAGGTTGGCAATTTCCTGCCTGAAGTAAAGTTTACCTCATCTTTGCTGAGAACTTGAAAATTGGTCATCTTCGGGGTGGGGTAAGGGCAAGAAGATGCTGAGTCCTGCCAGCCCCTCTTGGAGGAAACTCCCAGAGGTCCTACCCCAGCTGGGAAGGCCCTGCTTGCTCACTTGGCCGTGCCCCTAACCTGCCTGCCACTCCTACCAGTGGCCTGGCTTGTAAAAAGGAAGTCAGCCCAGGGTCGCAGGGAGGGGAGGGATGGAGGACAGGTGATAGCAGCCACCTGCCCGACAGTACCTACGCATGGGGAGTGCTCAATAAATAGCTGTTTTGGCAGGGGGGTGGGAGGATTGGGAAGAACCCTTGGGATGAAAGACGCATGGCTGCTGGCTGTAAAACTTAAATTTCTGGGCGGAGGTGGGAGTTATCAGTCTCAAATGATCTCAGCTAGCGCTGCCCTGGCCTTCCTCGACAGTGTCCGGCTGGGTCAATGCCTCCAGCCCCTGCTAGAAGGAGGTTCCCGCCCACGTGATTAGGGCGCTCACCTGTCACCCATGCTCAGGCGGTCGCCCGGCAGAGGGCGCCAGAGGTCTACCTTGCGCCCCTAGGGAGGCGGGGGGGGGGGGGGGAGTAGGTAAGCGGAACCACTATTCCCCACCCCACCCCGCGCCCACACAGGAGACAGACGAGGTGGGCAGGCACAACTCCCGTGCCGGCATCTTCCCTGGCACCACCAGCCTACCTCCTGTGGGGAAACAGGTGTGAGGCGGACTTGCCCCAGCCCCACAGCTGGAGCGATGCAAAGCTGGGGGGCTTCTCCCAAAGCTTGAAACCAGGGCTCCACAAACCAGGGTGCTGGGGCAGGGGGTGGGGGGCAGCCCGCCAATCAAAGAGACCCTGTCCAAGCCGGCCAATCAACGAGCCCCTGGCGGAAGGCGGAGCCTGCTAATTAGGGGCCCCAAGAGCAGCGGCGGAAACGGTGGGGGGCGCGCCGTGATGAGCTGGGGGGCGGGTAGGAGCTGCGCTGGCGGCTGAGCACCCCGTTGCGCAGTTTCCCTGCGAATGAAGGGTGAGCGCCCCGGGCTGGGGCCCTAGCCGGAAGGAAACTGAGGCTGGAGGGTCGGCCCGGGCGGCTGCCTGACGGGGGCGGGGCCGCCCCGGGGGCGGGGCTTTCCCTGGCCCCGCCCCGCCCGCGAGCTTAGCCCCGGCTCTCAGCCCCGCGCGCTGCTGCCAGTAGCGCCAGCTCCGGGCTATGGACGCCCCGGCGACCCCGGCGCCGCCCGCCGCCCCGGTCCCGGGGAGGAAGGAGCTGAAGATCGTGATCGTGGGCGACGGCGGCTGCGGCAAGACTTCGCTGCTCATGGTGTACAGCCAGGGCTCCTTCCCCGAGGTGAGGCCCCCGGAGGGCGGGGTGCTGGAGGCGCGTAGGATGGGGCAGGGGCGCGCGAGGGTCCCCTGGGGGCGAGGGACGGCCCTCGGCCTGCACCCGAGCCTGGACCCTAGGTCCCCGGCGTCCTGCGCGCCCAGAGGCGGCCGCCCCCCCCCCCCGGGCGCCCCCTCGGGAATTCCGGCGCCTAGCGGTGTGTGTGCGTGGGGTGGCGGGGGGCCGAGCCGGATGGGGGGAAGGTGGAAGGTGGGGAGTCCAGCGCACGTCGGGACCCCGCCGCGCTCCTGGGGACCAACCCTGCCCCTTCTCCGACAGCACTACGCCCCGTCCGTGTTCGAGAAGTACACGGCCAGCGTCACGGTGGGCAACAAGGAGGTGACCCTGAACCTCTACGACACCGCCGGTGAGTGCGCCTGCGCGCCGAGGGTCGGGGCGGCCCGGGACTTCCCCGCCCGGGCATCCCCGCCGCATCCCGCATCCCGACCGCCAGCTCCGCGATGCCCTGACAGCCCATCCCTCCTGGATGCAGCGGCGCGGTGCTGGCCCGGAGCCGGTGACCACCGCCTGGCCGGGGAGGAGGGGCCCTGGCGGCATAGCGGACCCCGGTCGCCCCGTCTCTATGTAAAAGGAGGGTGTTTGCACGAGATGAGCCCCTGGCCACCACCCAGCCCTGCTGTATTGAGAGCCCACGGCTGGGTTCCTCTCCTGTTTCTAGAAAACCACGGGCTCCCTTCTGCTTGGGGTGGGACCTGCTGTGGTCGCCTAAGGCTCTGCGAGCTGCACATGTGGGTCCCCTGGGGCTGGGCTGCCCTGGGCTGCATCTCGGGGTCCTGTGCTTCCGGAATAGTCTGGGCCACAGATGAGAGCGAGCCTGTGACCCCCAAGATCCTTGGCCGACAGCCCGAGACTCCACAGGACCCACATTTTGACTCCCACGCTTCTGGGATTCCGCGGGCGACAGGGGGTGATCCTGGGATTTGGTGGTCTCCTGTTTGAGCTTCTAGGATTCTGTGCCTTCCTGGTTCCCTGGAAGAAACCGGGGCGCTGAGGAGGGAACCAAGCTCTAGGGAATGCCGGGGTGAGGTTCTGTCACCTGCAGCTGCTAGTGGGTTCGTGCTGCCTGCCTCGCCATCGCCATCGGAGGCCTGTTGCTGGGGGATGGGTGGGGGGAGCCCAGCCAATGAGAGGACTTGAGTGGCACTGGTTGGGGAGGGGGCGCTGCCTCCCCTCAGGGAGTTTCCTTCTTTGCCTCTGGACTGAATAAACATTGGGGAGCGAAGGTCAGGACGGTCAGGATACGCAGCCTCTGTGAGTCAGTGTTGAGTGAGCTGCGTGGAACCCTGTCATCAGGTGCCCCCTCCCCAAGGAAGCCTAGTGTGTGTGAGGTGACGTCTCCCACTGGCCTTGGGTGGAGCCAAAACCCAGACCCTGCATCCCTTGCCAAGCTGCCAGGAGCGTCTCTCCTTCTACCTGGACCTGGCAGGATAGGGCTGGCTGTCCCAGCCCCAGACCGCTCCTGGGTTCCTGGTTTCTGACAGGCTTTGTTTGGGTGTTATTCCCCCCCTCCCTGCAGTGGGCTCTGAGGACCTCCCCTTCTTGTTGGATGAGGGCCCCGCGGGGCTGCCCCCAGAACGGGGATGTATGTGCCTCTGCTACTAAAGGCTTCAGAGGAATTCCCAAGGGTGTGGCCGCAAAGAGCAGTAAAGATCACACTGTGTTTGGGACACTTTTCGTTTCACACGTTTCCGTCTGGGACCCAGGGAGGGGCAGGTTCCTTAACCCCACGTGGTGGGTGGAGTGCTGGTGGACGGGGGAGTCCAGGGGAGTTGTGTGTCTCTCCTCCTGCCTCTGCCCTCAGGGCGTCTCCTCTCAGAGTCCCCAGTTCTTTCACGGTTCCCACTGCCTTCCCATCAGACCCAGCGCAGGGACCGCTTCTGGCCTTTCTGGCCTGGGCCAGAGAAAGATGCTCAAGGCACACGTCGGGGTCGGTTGTCACGTGCAGGCTCTGGGAAGCGCCTAGTTGCTTTAGGAAAGGATTTGCTCTAAGAGCTACTTCAGGAGGGATGGGGAAGCTGCGTCCGAGTTATCAGAATGGCTGGGTACCCTGACCTTTGCTGCGAGCACCCGGGGCCTGTCAGCCTCGCCCGCAGACCCGACCCGACACGCTCAGAGAACGGAAGCTGCGGTGAGGTCTGAAGTTTCCTGGGCAGGGGAAGCGGGGGCGGGGGCGGGGGCGAGGTGGGAGGTTAAGACACCAACCAGAGACGGAGCTGTTTGGGCCTCGGGGTGGGGCTCAGGGCTAGGGCATCACGAGATGGGGTGGCGATTGCCCAGGAGGTGGGGAGCTGTGGCTTCCTTCGTAGCCTGAGATGGGAACACGAGGAAAGGTGTGGGGCAGACGGGGAATCGGACCAGAGCGTTGTCTAGGAGCCAGGAGCACGGAGGCTAGGGGAGCCGCAGCGGTGGGTCCTCAGACCCGGTTCTGGGCCGCGGGCTGGAGCTGCCCGGGCCCCAGCTGCGCCAGTCTCTGAGGAGGGCATGCAGGTGGCAGGCCCCAGAGCACTCGTGAGAGTGGGTTCCTTTTCTGGCAGCTTCCCCTTCTCGTGCTGCCGGCAGCCATCCCCTGACCAACGCCCTGGCCAGAGCTGGGACCCACCTGCCCTGTGTATGTCCTCCAGCCGATTTGGGGACCACCATGGCCCGATGACTCCCTCTCTCCTCAACCCAGCGCCACGCCTTAGAGACCCCTGCCCAGAGAGATGACGGCCACAGCCAAGCTCCCTCCCACAAAGGAAATACCCTCTCATGAGGCGAGGCGAGAGCCTCACTTCCTCCCTGCCCCACAGACCTTTCCTCGCCTGAAACAAACGTCTCCTTTTGCACATAACTCAGGGCTTTTTTTTTTTTTTTTTTTTTTAACATCTGAGGCCCATCTGCGGAAGCCAGAGTGGGACACCTGTATGCCCGTAGACAGGGGACTTGGCCCCTTTAAGCCTTGGCATTACCAGGGGTAAATGGGGAGAGTAATACCATGTTGTGGGTGGAGGGCTCCATAAAGCTTGTGGGTCTAAAGAGCCAGGGTTAGAACCTGCTCTTCCCGCCCCCGCCCCCAGGACCCTGTTTCTGTTTCAGGAGTAACCATAGTAGCAGTCCCTCACCTTTTGCCCAGCATTGCTCAGCCTACCAGGAGCAGGGTTATCACCAGATAAGGAAACTGAGGCCTAGAGAGGGACGGTACCAAAGTCATGGAACATGAGTCTGCGGGCAGCCTGGCCTCCTGACTCATACGGGAGGCGTCCAGGACACCCTGCCCCTCCCAAGGAGACGTGAGGTCAACAGCCCCGGAAGTCTATCACCTGCAGAGTGGAGGCCCACTCTGAGGCCTGGGGAAAGCCGAGCCAGGCACAGTCAAGCCAGGAAGGCAGCCTGGAGGAGGAGCTGGGATCTGGGCTGGCTGCCCATCTCCTCCCAGAATCCCTCTCTTCTTGAGATTACTGTGTTGGGAGCTTTTACCTCACCTGGTCAGGGCTGGAATTTGTCGGGCCAGCTCCCTGTCCTTTGGGATGGAGCAAAAGGGAGGCACCCCAGTAGTCCTCCCATGGTCTTCTGTCATTTACAAAGCTTCCTGTGAGCTCTGTGACCGTGGACAAGTCCCTTCGCCTCTCTGTGTTTCAGTTTCTGCGTCCGTAAAATGTGATAACAGCAGCCCTGTCTTACAGGATTATGGTGAGGAACGATGAGTCAATGCAGGTAAAGGGCTCTGAATGGGGCCTGGCATATGATGACCATTTTTACTGTTATTGTCAAGAAGGCTCACTTGCTTCTCACATGTCCATTTCACAGATGAGGAAACTGAGGCCCAGAGGTTAATTCCCAATTGGGAAGGCTGGAGAAGGCTTCCTGGGAGAATTGGTGCCTTTAGAGTGGCTTGGCAGGCAGCTGACCTTGGCGTGGGGACTAAGTTGGTGCTCCAGCTCCCAGGGAGCCTGTCTCTGACCTTGAAAAAATGCCCCCTCAGCCACGTGGTCTCCTAACAGGAAGAACCCTCCCCGCCAGGCTTACTTCCTGGGGCGGCTGCTTAAACGAACAGAGGTGATGCAAGTGCGGTGCCCGTGCAGACGCCTAAAGCCTCGAGGACCATCATTGCACTTCCTTCACTCACTCATCCATTTGTTCATTCATTCACCAACGGAACTGAGTTCGCCCGTGTAGCAGAGATGGCCCCTGTCCTCACGGGGAGACCAAACAAACAAACAAAAACCCAGAAGAAAAAGCCACAGCTGGTCGTGGGACCCACTGGGAAGGAGGCTGTTTCAGAGCAATCCTCTTGGAGACGGTGACCCTTCTGCAGAGACCTGACGGAAAGGAGGGACCGAGCCATGCTGCTACCTGGGCAAGAGCCTCTAGAAAAGGTGACAGTGAGGGCAGAGTCTCGGGGGGAGCCAGCTTGGCCTGACTTCCTCCTCCAACCCAGGGCCGTCTGACTTCTGCCCTCACCGACTGCTGGAACCATCACGTACATGGCAGACCTTCCGGCGCACCTCAGCCCTGGTCTCCACGGCGTGCCAGGAGGTGAACAGCTTCAACCAGCCAATACCGACTGGACGCCTGCCGGGCACCAGGAGTTAGTATTTCAGGACAGACGTGGGCCCTGCCCTCAGGGTGCCTCCAGTCCACAGGGACACAGGCAGTAAACAGCACACCTACGAGGACAGGCTGTGGACACACAGGGCGGTGGACTTTGCACCAGGCGAGATGAAGAGAGACGTGGGAACAGTAGGCCCCGTTTACGACGTGGCCATTCCAGCCACGTGTCTGGAAGGGAATGAGAGCGCGCGTGTCACGCCACAATTATGAACCGTGTCGTACACCGTAGAAGGCCAGGACCGATGTTTGCACAGAAGCAAGAAAGCGTGTCACTGCGTTTTTGCAGAAGGAACACGGGACTTGGGATTTAAGGAGCCGGGTGGAGTCCTGGCTCGGTCACTGATGCAGTGACCAGGGGTAGGTTACTTCACTTCTCTGAAACTCCGTTTTTTTCTGCATCAGTGGAATGTTCCTAAGTTCCCTGACTAGCTCCTCAGAGGGTTGCTGTCAGGGTGTGTCTTAATAATTTACAGGCAGAAGCACCCGGAAAAGTACATAAGGTGTAGGGTGGTGGTGTTATTACGTAGAAGTAGAGAGAAGGCAAAGGAAATAATGTGGTCAGTCTGAATGCTTGAAAAGAAAACGCTAGAAAGATGCCCCAGAACGTGAGGGAAAGGCATTCCAGGTATGGGGAACAGCAAGTGCAGAGGCTCTGAGGCCCGAGAGCTTGGTGGGTTTGAGAGGAGGCCCCCTTGGCTGGACCTCAGTGAGTGAGGGGTGTGGAGGAGGGAGATGAGGTCAGGACTAGTGGGCCCAGGTCATGTGGGCCACAAGAGATGTTTGGGTTTTAGTAAAGGGCAATAGGGAGCCATTGAAGGTGTTTCAGTTGTGAGGAGAGGGCAGGTCTTTGTGTTTTAAGACCCACATAACTGCTGCATGGAGAATGGGATTCACTGAGGGGCAGCAGGGGAGCAGGGGGAGGCGGCCTGGATGGGCAGCAGGGGAGCAGGGGGAGGCGGCCTGGATGGGCAGCAGGGGAGCAGGGGGAGGCGGCCTGGATGGGCAGCAGGGGAGCAGGGGGAGGCGGCCTGGATGAGGACGGTGCCGGGCTGTGCACTAGAACGTTCTGTGGTGATGGAAATGTTCTGTACCTACGCTGTCTGTTACAGAAGCCACTGGCCCTGTGCAGCAGTTAATCACTTGAAATGTAGCTAGTGTAATGGAGAACCTGCATTTTTAATGTTAATTTAAATAGCCACCTGGGGCTAGAGGCTACCCTATTGGACAGCAGAGGTCTAGTAAGACACGCCCAGAGGTGAGGAATGGGGACAGTTTGGGACAGCAAGGGGAAGGCATGCGCTGGATAGCACGCTGGGCCAGTTCTCCATCGTCTGATGCAGATTTATCCAGCTTTGTGGCGGTGAGCATAGGGGGGTCTGAGTGCGCTGGGCCCTGCCTACCCCTCCCCCCTTCTCCAGTGTTGGGGGACTTCAGCTGAGTGACAGCACGGACAGTCCTCCTGGCCCAGCCGTTGTCATAACTGTGGCAACCATTCACTGCACAGTGGAGGGAGTCAGTGGGAAGAGGGTGGCTGTGCCCTGTCATCAGTAAGAGGCCAGAAGCAGGACATGGTCTGTGCTCGGTGAAGAGGCCACTTGTCTTGAGAGGCCTTTGGCAGGGAGGGAGCTGGCCTCCTGTCCTGTTCAATGGAAGGAAGTCACCTTGCCTTTCTGCAAAGTGGCTGGGGGGTTGCCAATGAGTCTGAAAGGCTCCCAGCCCTCGCTGTGGGAGTTTTCCCAAGATGCCAGGTGTAATAGCTACGTGCAGGACGTACAGGCACCACCTGCCTCTGGACTAGCGGGAAGTCCTGGAGGACATTTGGGAAAAGCTGAGCGCGGCCAGTGGATCGGCTGGAGCACAGCTTCGCCGCGGCTTTCCCAAGTTTGGCAGACGCACTGTGGCCGGTGAGAGCTCGTCCCGTGTTCTTTGAATGTCCTTAGAAAATCCGCAGGGAACTAACTATTCCCGGGCGCAGGAGCCCAATGTGTGCACCTGCTCCTCACGTGGCTCAAGCTGTTTCCCTGTAGATACGAAGTGGGGCCAAACGTAAACAGTGCATCTGAGTAAGGGCGTTCTTGGCGCTGTTTTTTGCCATTTTTCTGTAAGTTTTAAATATAAATAAAAAAGAAAAGAAAAAACCAAACCCGCCCAACTGGCGTGTTTGGCCAGGAGGTCACAGTTCGATGCTGGGTTGGGACACATGCCCAGGTTGCTGGCTAGATCCCCAGTGTGGAGTATGCAGGAGGCAGCCAATCAATGACTCATCATTGATGTTTCTCCCTCCCTTCCCTATAACAGTGGTTCTCAACCTTGGCTGCACATTAGAATCACCTAGGAATCTTTTTAAAATCCTGATTTCTGGGCCTCATCCTCCAGAAATTCTGTTTCTTTGTTACTAATGTTGTGGCCTCACCCCATAAAAAAGAAACAAAATTTCCGGAGGATGAGGCCCAGAAATCAGGATTTTAAAAAGATTCCCCGGTGATTCTAATGTGCAGCCAAGGTTGAGAACCACTGCTCTATAAAATAAATAAAAATGTATTAAAACAGCCATGACCAGTTTGGCTCAGTGGATAGAGTGTCGGACTGTGGACTGAAAGGTCCCAGGTTCGATTCCAGTCAAGGGCTTGTACCTTGGTTGTGGGCACATCCCCAGTAGGGGGTGTGCAGGAGGCAGCTGATCGATGTTTCTAACTATCCCTCTCCCTTCCTCTGTAAAAAATCAATAAAATATATTTAAATATATACATACACACACACACACACACACACATATATATAATAAAACAAACAAAAAAACCCACCACTGCTCGAGCCCAGCCTGGGGGTGAGTCTGATGTGCCCTGGGGGGTGGGGAGAGGGTTCAGGTGAGAAACTTGCTGTTATTTCCAGCGGCCCCCACTCTTCCTAGTCCCCACTCTTCCTAGCAGTGGCCAGAATGGCAGGATGAACTTTACCTGAGGCCACGCACCTCTGGGCTTGGGGGGCACCCTCCTCTAACTTTGTTTTGGGGGAGGGTGATGTGACTTCAGCCTGAGCACAGGGTAGGGGGTAAGAGGGTTGGGGGGCGGGGTGACCGTCTCCAGAGTAATTGCTCGTGGCGTTTCAGCACTTACTGCTGGGTTTTCTCTCATGCCATCCTCGCTGCCGTCCAGGACAGCGGGCGGCCACCTGTTTTCCACAGGACAAAACTGAAGCCCAAGCAGGTGTCACTTGTCCGGCAGACCCCCAGACCCCTGGCCCTCCTGGGCCCAGACCAGGGACTCAGGTGGACAAGGAGGGGCGCCTCCCTGACCCCCACCTGCTCTCCGGTTGGTTTCAGGGCAGGAAGACTACGACCGGCTGCGGCCCCTGTCCTACCAGAACACCCACCTGGTGCTCATCTGCTATGACGTCATGAACCCTACCAGCTATGACAACGTCCTCATCAAGGTGAGGCCTGCCCCCCGGGTTGGGGGCCTCGGATCCAGCCCCAGCCCCAGCCCTGATGCCCAGCCTCTCCCTCCACAGTGGTTCCCCGAGGTCACGCATTTCTGCCGTGGGACCCCCATGGTGCTCATCGGCTGCAAGACGGACCTGAGGAAGGACAAGGAGCAGCTGCGGAAGCTGCGGGCGGCCCAGCTGGAGCCTATCACCTACACGCAGGTGGGCTCGGGGCCCTCCCTCCCCTTCCCCACAGCCCCACCAGGAGCCCAGGTCCGAGGCACAGCTGTGGCTAAAAAGACGCCCAGGCCTTTGGCCTCTGCCACGGGGTGCCTCTGGCCTTTCGCACAGTGGAAGCAAACAGGATTCTGAGAATAACAGCTGTAGAATATTGAGAGCCCATATATCTGAGCACTTTATTTAATCCTATGACCCCGAGGCCGATACTGTTAGTGCTCCCCATTTTATGGGGAGATAAATTGAGACCCAGAGAGGTTAAGGAGCTTGCCCAGGGTCACACAGCTAACCTGAAGTGAAGCGAGGATGCCGTCCCAGTCACCATGGCTCCAGAGTCTGGGCCCTTAGCCATCATCCTGTCCCGTCTCCCCAGGGGACCCCAGGGGCGGCCCTTGTTCAAAAGCAGCGAGTCCCGTGGCTTCCTGAGGCGCGGGAGGATGAAGGGAACACGAAGCAAATCTAATAAGGTTTAATAACAGAATAAGCATGAATGAAAGTAAATCTGTTTTAGAAATAGGTATTTTTAATTCTAATGACAAGCTCCGTTGCCTAAACGGTGCTTTCCAGAAGGGAGAGAGGTCTGGGGAGGAAGCCCACCTCTCCTCACAGGCCTGGCAGACACGGAAGGACAACCCCGTTCTCAGAATTCACCGCCCCCCCTCCCCCCTGTTTCTGCCTGAGGTGGGAAGGAGGCTGGGAGGGGACAAGAGGGGCCCCGCAGCCCCTAAAGCCAGCCCCAAGCCCACCAGGGGGTGTCGGGAGGCGCCCCAGGCCCCTCATCGAATGCTGTCCCCTCCTCCCCCAGGGCCTGAACACCTGCCAGCAGATGCAAGCCGCCCTCTATCTGGAATGTTCCGCCAAGTTTCGGGAGAACGTGGAGGACGTCTTCCGAGAGGCCGCCAAGGTGGCCCTCAGCGCCCTGAAGAAAGCGCAGCGGCAGAAACACCCCCGGCGGTGCCTGCTGCTCTGACCTCTCAGGGCGGGCACTCAGCCCTCAGAACAGGACTGACAGGGCCCGGCCCGGCTACTCCCCGGGACCCTGCCCACCCCCAGCTCACGAAGGCACTCGGAGTTGTATCTGGAGCCTGTGGCAAGACTCTTTGGATGGTCTGGAACTTTCTCCTTTCCCAGCTGGGCTGACCAGGAACTCGAGCTTCGGCCTGTGTGGTGGTGGGTGAGGGTGCGGACTAGGGCCCTCTGTGCCCTGGAACTGGCATTTGTCCCCAGGACTCTGGCGTGCCCTCTTTGCACTCTCCCCCCAGCCACGTGTCCCCCTTCAAACACGCAGTAGGTCCTCAAAGCCTGTGCTTGAAACAACCAACTACACTGGTCCATGGGCCACTGTGGATCTGGCAGCGCCCCACGGCCCTGGGCTGGGGAGATAGGCAGAGCTGCATCCTCCGGTCTCGCTTCCTTCCCCCGGGAGTGCCGAGCCACGATGGGACCAGGCCTATCAGGAGAACGCAGCCCCGGACACGGACACAGGAATTGCATCGCCCCCACCCACTCTACGCAGAGGACTTCAGTGGTAGCCTTTGGCGTGGCCGACATCTGCCCAGATCCGGGTGCACATGACCAGGGGGAGAAGAGACTCGGAAAGCAGAGCAAACACTGTAGACCACCCATCCGACCCCTGCCCGGGGTCTCCTCACCTGCAGCCCCCACTGCCGGAAACTCAGATGAAGTGACAGCAGCTCCTGATCGTGAGCAGGCCAGTCCTGAGACTGTGTCCCTGTCTGCAAAGGAGTCGTCTAGCCCCCCTGCCCCTCACAGCCCCCACTGCTGGGGGATGTGTTCCAGAGCCAAGGCCACCCTGGCCTCCTTCAAGATCGGACTTGACTGACCGTCCCCCAGCCGCAGATTCACGGAACTTCCTTCTGGAAGGTCTGGGTTCAGGGACCCAGGAATTTTTTAAAAGTGCCCCAGGGGATTCCAGTACCCCAGAGACTGACAGCTGCTTGGTCCTGAGCTCACTCTGGAGTCAGCGCTACCGAAGGTGGGGTGATGGCTCCAGGTGGCTCCTGCTCCCCAGGTATCTCTGCCTCCGTACCCTGTGCCCAGCGCTGTGCCTAAGCCTGAGCTTCTCTGAAGTCACCTGCTAGGGCAAGACCTCTAAGCCCACCGCACCCCACCTAGGTTCCTGGAGGCCCCTCCATGGGGACTCACCAGAGCCTTCAGACCAAGGACCTCTGGTTCCAGCAGAGTCCAGGGCCTCGTGGACAAATGAGGGTCTAGAACAGAGGTCAGCGAACTATGGCCTGTGAGCCAAATCTGGCTGCTGTGTGTTTTTGTAAATAAAGTTTTATTGGAACACAGTCATGCCCATTCATTTATGCGAGGGCTGCTTTTGCCCCACAACTGCAGGCTAAAGTCACTGTGACTGTGACCATCTGGCCCGTCACAGGAAAGGTCTAGGGCAAACCCAAGTTCTTAAAGGGCCAGATGGGCGGCGTGGAGAGTGAAGGAGGGCAGGGCTAGGAGGGGGTGGTGGGGTCTCCGCAAACTAGAAAGCAAGCGCCACTCCGGGCAGGCAGCCAGCCCAGGTGAGCGCTGTTCTGTGGGAACACGGCCAGGGCTTTCCACTTATCTGGGGAAAGTCAAGACCTGGATTTTTGTGTGGAATCTTACTGGGGGTGGATTCCATATTTTAAAAATGTAACTAATTTAAAAAATTTGTAAACCCCTTTGAGGGCCACAGCATAGCTGTGGACACCAGCTATGACCTCTGGTCCAAGAGGATTTGTAGGGAAGTCGTTAAGGGCAGATGAGGCTCAGGTGTGGGAGAAGGGGCAGAAAATTGGCTTCTTCACCCTCCAATTCAGGATCTATCGTGAGGTGACCAGCAGCCTTGCCCTGTGTGACCTTCTGAAAGTGAGATTGCCCAGACACCCCCCACCCCAATTTCCGGAACCTCTGAGTAAGGGAGGTGATGGAGGGCTGGGTGACATTGGTGCTGGCTGAAGTCCAGGCCAGCGCTGAGGGTCTGGGTCTCACTCTGAGTTCCCACTGCAAGGATTCAGGAAGATGGGCTGAGGGTAGAGGGTCAGGAAGTGTCAAGTAACGCCCTCAAACCACCCACATGGTGCCGAGGCTGGGGCGCCCTCTGGTGGTGACTCAGAAACCCTGCCTGCCTTGGGCCCAGCTGCTCCAGGGGCCAAGAACCCCAGGCCTCAGGCCGGCCCGGCCACTTTCCCCAGGTGACCGGCAGTCAGGGGACTCAGGAAGCACAAAGAGCACAAGGCACAACAGCGGTTCTCTGAGAAGGTAGATACCCGCCCCACAGAGAAACGGAGGCTGGGAGGAGGAGGGAGCCGACAGCAGAAGCGTGGCCTGCAGAGGGAGTCCCCACAGGACTCCCAGGGCCCCCCTCCCGCCTCCGCCTGGGACTCTGTAAGTAACAGGTCACACATCCAACCTCAGGAGGCATGTCCACACCCTGCCCTGAGGGCTTCAAGTGCCAGGACCGGGGGACAGAGGGGCTCCCTGAGGCGTTGCCTCCCCCAGGAAGACAGTCCGGCCAAGAGCAGCGGGGGCTACGATTCTAGGGAGGTGGGGAGGGCGCGGCATTAAATACGTCATAAATAGGAAGGGTGGCTAATACTGCTCGGACAGGCTGGGTCACATTTCTCTTGTCCAGTCGGGGACTCGGGCCTTGGCCCTGCTCCCGGGGAGGCCACTGGCCCCTGAGGTCACTGCGCCAGTGGCCACTGGCGCTGCTGAGGAGGAACCGGCAGCGAGGGTGCCGACTGAGACCCCCGCAGTCTCAAAGTCCCGGGCTCGGGGGCGCAGCCCCGTGGCTCACGGCGTCTTCGCCTTGTTCCTGTTCTTCTGGAGTTTGGTGTGCACCACTTTGAGGGTGGTCAGGAAGTTGCCCAGGAAGAGGACCAGGAAGGTGATTGCCAACACGAACACCTGGCGGGGCAGAGGGGAAGGAGGAACAGGCCGTGCCAGCTCTGACCAGCTCCCCCTGCTGGGGTGCCACCCCACCCCAGACCTCAGAACCCTTCGCACAAGCCACCCACCAACTGCAAGGTTCTGCAGGCGGAAGGCAGACATCCGGGCCAACTGGGTGGAGGACCTGAGTCCTGGGGTCGGGCCGGGCCGGGCCCTGGGGAGTGTTCAATGGGGAGCCACCCCTGAGGGGCTCCCAGGCCCAGCAGCAGAGTCTGGGCCCCATGGAGGAGAGCAAAGGGGGCAGGCGGCTACAGAAGTAATTTCCCCCAAGTCGGCCCAGCCTTCCCTAGGACCTCCCCCTGCCCCTCCACATACACACTGTTCCCCAGGAACACACACACACACACACACACACACACACACACACGCCAGCCCAGCCTTCCCCAGGACCCCCCCCCCCCCACACACACACACACACCCATACCTGCCATTCTCTGCATTCCTCGTGGCTGGAAAGCTTGAAGAGCGTGACTGCATTGTAGAGCTGCCAGAACTGCAGGGGGAGGCGGGGGGGGGGGGCACTGTTCAGTCCCAGTTCCCCTGGACACCACATGGGAAACCCCCAGGTGAGGCACCAGGACCCCAGCTTCTGGTAGCCACTGCCCTGAGACACTGAAACCCCCCAAATGAAACTGGGGCACCCTAGGCCAGAGTAGCCTGAGGGCCAGTTCTGGGCCCTGCCTTTGGGCTCCCTGGACCCAGGGCCTGCCATAGCCTGGGAACCCATGAGGCCCAGCCCGGGGACGGCTGGTGAATGGGGAAATGAGGGAGAGGCTACAGACACTGTGTTCCTGGAGGTCACCCCAGAGTAGGGGACACCCACAGACTCCAGGGTACTCACATGGCCAAAGAACAGGAAAGGCAGGAGGAAGGTGAGGCCCCGCCACATCCAGGACTGGAATCCCTCTGTGGAGGAGGGAGAGGGCGAAGGCCTGTGTGAGGGACCCGGCTGCCCGCACGGCCCCACCAAGCGCCCACTGCTTGGCCGTGCCAGTCACCCCTAGATTAGCTAGGCACAGACAGACACAGCGCGGGGGAGCAGCCCTCAGCTCTTACAGGTGCGGGAGCGCTCACCATGAGAACCACCAGACAGATGCAGAACGCCCATCACCAGGCCTGACAGCTCAGCCCGAGGCCACCAAGGACAAGCAGGCTTGACAACACTTATGGAACGCTGATGTGCCAGGGACTGGTTTTAAATTTTTCTTTAGTTTACACTTTATAGTGAACTTTCAAATGCATCATTTCAATCGAGTCTTGACAAAGCAAGGCCTACTTTGTGGAGCAATTCAATAGAAATGACCATCTTAAGAGATAGCAGAGCTTTATTAAAAATAGTTTCCCCTGAGAGCTTAGATGAAAGGTCTCCAAGCTTTTCTGATTAGGCACCCAACCCTATGAGATAAAAAGTTACACACCCACCGCCGGCCGGGGTGGCTCGGTGACTGAGTGCTGACCTATGAACCAGGTGGTCACGGTTCAATTCTTGGCCAGGGCACATCCTGAGGGCTCGATCCCCAGTAGGGGGTGTGCAGGAGGCAGCCAATCAATGATTCTCATCATTGATGTTTCTATTCTCTCCCTTTCCCTTCCTCTCTGAAATAAAAAAATTTTAAATAAATAAAGATATATTTTTTTAAAAGTTACACACACATTCCCAATGTGTATATATGTATATGTTGATATATATTTATATGTAGACATACTACACATCGGTTATATATGTACAACAGCAGTGGGCTAACATATATATAGTATATTTTTATTATAAATCACAGACAAAAAACAGACATTTTAAAAGGATAAGAGAGAAGCCAGCACTGAGGGTGCACAGCTGGTCTGACACTTCACTAAAACAGAATCCACAATGAATTATGAAAAGCAACTTGGGTAGAGGCCAGCAGCCCTGCCTTCACGTGTGGGAGGTTTTGTTTGTTATGTCCTTACCGGCACATGCTCCCACTGTGGGGAGTTAGGAGTCAGATCTGGGGGAGCAGGCAGGGGCCAGTACTTGTGCCTCCACCCCCCAGGTCGGCTACTCACCCACAGTGAGGTCCAAATGATTCCTTTCCCCCAGAGCCCGCAGCCGGTAGAGGCAGCCCCTCTGGTAATAATATTGCAGGAACTGGACACAGCCTGCAGGGGGAGCACAGCACGCGGAGGATTGAGTGACACTTCTACCGCAAAGAGGTGGGTCTTCACAGCCCAGAGGGTACAGCCCTCTCCCACCCACACCCCTCCCTCTCTCTCAAATAGAAACTTCTAGAGCTTCCCTAGGCATGCAGTAGGCACTCAAAAGAGGCTTGCACCGGGCTAGGAGCTGTGTGCAATGCCAGGTCAGCAAGACAGTTCCATACAATGGGATACTTGTACTGAGGGTGAAAAAAGCCCATGGTAATTGTTTCCCGGGTTACATGCAAAGCTGTATGTACAGAGGGATCCCGTGTTTGTGGACTATACATAATGCAGTATATATGCATATACGTATTTGTGAGTAAAATGTTAGAAAGGACATAGACGTATTACCAGTGGTCACCCCAAGGGCGAGACTGTACCTAATTTTCATTCTCAGCTTTATATATTTGGACTTGTTCGTAAGCAGGGTTTTCTTTAAAAATTAAGTTGTATTTTTTTGAGTTGGCAATATGCACACGGTATAAAATTCAAAGGGAACAAACAGGTCTATGGTGAAAAGTAAAACTCGCTCTCCCTGTCGCCAACCATTCAAGCTCCCCGACCCCCCTGGGGCAGTGCATTGTATATAAATCCAGGGCTGTTCCTAAATGAGAAAAAAGAACATATATTTCCATTTTAAGGAAAACAAAGTTAGTGCCCCAACACCAGTGGGTTCACAGAGGTGGCGATTCGTTGGGAGAAGAAAGAGGCAGTGACTGGGGCTCCAGGGGAGGCAATGGGGCAGGCCATCGCTAGAGCTGGGGGTGGAGGGGTAGGATGGAGTTGACCTGGGGGGCAGGTAGCTCTTTGGATTTCCAGGGACCTCCCCCAGTGCCCTCTCCCCTCCAGGAAAGACACACCCCTCCCAGGGACAGGGCCTCCACAGGGAACCCACAGGGAACCGTGCCCCCTCCCCTGAATGTAGGCAAGAGACACTCACTCTGAAATATGGAAAACGCTAAAAACTGACTGCGAAACTTCTGATAGATTAGTCCGTTGGGCCTGCAGAGAGGTGGGGGAGAAGGTGAGGGGTCCTGGGGAATCAGACATCCATCCCGCCCATCCTGTTCCCGCTGGGAGAGAGGAAAGGGTTTTACATTTAAACCCAAATCCCAGTGTCTACCTTCTTTACCACCCGTGTCCCTGGGAGCGTGTGTAGTTTTGAAGCCTAAGGTCCCACAGGTTCCCCCTCCCTCTGGGCCTGACGCCTTGGTGCCACAGCCTTGTCCTTGCGCTGCTGTCCAGCCTTGCTCCCTGTCCCGTGCCCCAGCCTTGCTCCCTGTCCCCGCTGCCCCAGCCTTGCTCCCTGTCCCGTGCCCCAGCCTTGCTCCCTGTCCCCTGTGCCCCAGCCTTGCTCCCTGTCCCCACTGCCCCAGCCTTGCTCCCTGTCCCCACTGCCCCAGCCTTGCTCCCTGTCCCGTGCCCCAGCCTTGCTCCCTGTCCCGTGCCCCAACCTTGCTCCCTGTCCCCTCTGCCCCAGCCTTGCTCCCTGTCCCCTCTGCCTCAGCCTTGCTCCCTGTCCCCTCTGCCCCAGCCTTGCTCCCTGTCCCGTGCCCCAGCCTTGCTCCCTGTCCCCGCTGCCCCAGCCTTGCTCCCTGTCCCGTGCCCCAGCCTTGCTCCCTGTCCCCTGTGCCCCAGCCTTGCTCCCTGTCCCCACTGCCCCAGCCTTGCTCCCTGTCCCCACTGCCCCAGCCTTGCTCCCTGTCCCCTGTGCCCCAGCCTTGCTCCCTATCCCGTGCCCCAGCCTTGCTCCCTGTCCCCTCTGCCCCAGCCTTGCTCCCTGTCCCCTCTGCCCCAGCCTTGCTCCCTGTCCCCTGTGCCCCAGCCTTGCTCCCTGTCCCCTCTGCCCCAGCCAGCAGGAGGAGGGTACATTTCCAGGAAAACTCCCTGGGGCTCTGCTGTAAGCTCACACTCTCCTTGGCCCCGAAGTCAGCCCAGTTGGAGCCAGGGCCTTGGAAAGCCATCTGGGCCCCTCACCCACGACTAGTCCCCATTCACGGCCCCCTGGGGAGGGCAAGGGGAGGCGTGGGGGGCGGGGCAGGAGACACTCACCAGGTCAGCATCACTCCAGACAGGAAGGTGGACACGTAGTGGTGCGACACCCACCAGCCTTTAATTCTCGGAGAACAAGAGAAGGGAAAGCTCAGGTGGGGAGAGAAAGGCAGGCGCCTCCCAGCTTCCCAGCCTCTGTGTGTGTGGTGGGCGGGGGGCTTTGTCCTCCTCCCTGTCCTACGAAGACGCACAACCACACTGAGCCACCCATCGATGAGCCAGGAGGCCCACAGAGGCTTCCGGGGACCCTGAGAACGCAGCCCCAACCTCAGCGCGGCTGTAACCACCTCCCTGCCCCCTCCTCCTCACACCGCCGATACCTCAGGACCTGTTACGGACTCAATTGTGTGTCCCCAGAACTCACAGATTGAAGCCCTAGCTAGCCCCCAGTGACCACATTAGCAGAGGGAGTCTTTTAAGAGGTCACTGAGGCTGAATGAGGTCATAAGGATGGGCCCCCATCCAATAGCACTGGTGTCCTTAGGAGAAGAGGAGACGCACGAGGAGTGTGCGTGCTCACAGAGCAAAGGCCACGGGAGGTCACAGGGACCGTCCGTCAGCCAAGGACAGGCCTCAGGAGAAACCAGCCCGGCTGGCCCCCTGGTCTCGGATGCGGAGCTTCCAGGATTGAGAGAAAATGGATTTCTGCTGTTGGAGCTGCCGGTCTGTGTATTTTGTCATGGAAGCCGCGCTGACCAACGGGGAGGGCCTTTTGTACCTTCTCTCTGCTCCCGGGCCTTGGCCTACAGGCCTCCTGGTCCAAGTTCAAGTTCTGTCTGTCACCTCCTCCAAGACCTTCCCTGACCTGCTTATCCAAGTCAGCCAGACAGCCCCACCCTGGATCACACGGTCCTGCTGCCTCTTCCTCGAGGTGCTCACCGCTGTCTGAAATTCTTACTGTTTTCTCCTGTTTCCTGAACCCCCTTCCCCACTCAGATGTCAACTCCAGAAGCGCAAGATTCCTGTCTGTCTGGTTCGTTGATGCACCTGCTCAGAGCAGGTGCTGAGTAAATTTGCTGAACAAACACAGAACACACACACTTTGACACAGAGCTGCAGCACCTCACACCACCCCAGCCGCAGCTGCTCCCGGGAGCCCACACCCTGGGCGAGTCTGCTCCTCCGTCTACTGCAAGCCCGCATCCAGCCCTGGACTTCACCCCACCCAGTCCAGAAGCTGTGGGGACCCTGTTGTCAGAGCTCAGTGTCCCCCCAGCTCAGGGTTCTCACTCCACAGCCAGGAGGGATGCTGGACCCAACACCTTTGCCCTTCAAAGTCCCTGAGATTGTCTCAGATCTTTGCTGGCCCTTCCTGGTCCGGCTCTGGGAGCTCAGATAACGGAACACAGGGCGGCAGGGATGTGCTTTGCCAAACACAGCCTGGGAGCAGGAGGGCTCCCTCGTCCCAAGGATGGGGCTGTAGTGATTGGGACACCAGAGGCATCTATAGGAGGTATCAAGCCATATCTTTCTCTCTCTCTCACTCTTTCTCTATTTCTCTCTCTCGCTCTCTCTCTCTCTCTCTCTCTCTCTCACACTGGGGTGGGGGCCAAGCGAGGAGATGGGGTCCAGGGCAGCACTGCTCACAAGGAGGAGGAGCCCGAGGACCTGCTAGCTTGGGGGGTGAGCTGCTGGATTAGACTTCCTTTTTAACTAAATCATCCTGCAACTGGCTTTCTCATCTGGATTCCCAGGCTGGTACCTATTGATCTGTCACATGGCATTTCAGGATGTGGCTCTGCCATAGTCCACGTGGTTGCTCCTCAACGGTCACTACCATTCTCTGTGCTGTCAAGACACCCCCATGGAAGTCCCTGGTGTGATGACATTGTTTCTCCAAGAAACGGGATGACTGGCTCAGAAGTTGCCCCCCAAAATCTCAACCCCAATTTATACTCCCATCAGCAGTAGGGGAGACAATTTGGTTCCCCAAACTCTCACCAACGACTGAAACCAAATTTTAAAATTTCTGCCCAACTTATTAGGTAAAAATTGGTGTGTCATTGAGATTTCCATTTGCATTGTCCTAACGGGGGTTTAAGTGGCCTTAAAACCTCCCGACCAGAATATAGACATCATAAGAGCAGGGACTGGCTCGTCCTCATCCCTTCTTCTCTTTGCAGCCCCATTACAGTTCTGGGTGCAAATCAGGTTCAGACAATGGCCTGTGGGTCCCTCAAAGGTTATGGTGAAGGACAAAGCTTTTTTCTTTATTCCTAGCATGACCAGCACTAGGTAAACAGTAGGAAGTAAATTAATGTTGAAATGCCCAGGAGGTGCAGCTGGGGAAAGCCACAGCTGGTCTGGATGCCACCAGCACAGAGGAGACAGGAGATGGCTGCAGGTGCCACGGAAGTTCATGGGACAAGATAAGACGTGCAATCACTTCCCAGTTCCGCCTCTCCCTCTTCGTGTCCCTGTCTTGCCTGTCAGAGTCTAGGAGGCCCCTGGCACTGGTTTTCTGATAGAAAAAGCAGTTGGCCACCTCAGACTTTTAGCTTGAAGAGCACCCAGGAAACCATTCTGGAACCTCCCCAGCTCTCTGCGAAGCCACACACAAGTCCTAGGGTCCTGGCAAGTCCGGTGCTCCTTTGTCCTAGTCTCCAAACTCTCTGGACAAACACCCTCTCTCCACCTGGGAGTGGCCTGAGCCAGACACAGGCTCTGGGCAACAAGCTTGGTTGAGCAGCAGCTTTTCATTTCACAGCTTGCTGTGCCCATAGCCCAGCGATGACAGCTGCCACTCAGTGGCACTGGGAGAGGTTAGACGTCGCTTCTTCCCCGGCCCCATCGTCCATCTGCACATCCCAGGCCTCTGGGCAGGTTTTGTGCACGTGTGTGTGTGTTTATATAACATTTTTATTGTGATACAGTTCAGACCCATACAATTCACCCATTTAAAATATAGATTCAGAGTTGTGCTACGTCACCACAATCAGTTTTAGGACATGCTTGTCACCCCAGAAAGAAACCTGCACCCAGTAGCAGTCACTCTCCGAGCCTGATTTGGACAGAAAGGATGCTTGCAGGGCGGGCGGGCTTTTTCATGAGCAGACAGTAGATGCCCCAGGAAGCATGGAGCTCTCCTGCCAGAACGTAGGGACATCAAGTCCTGGTGTCTGCGGACTGTGCCCAGGATGACCACAGCCCTCCTACAGGACACCTTGCGACATCTGGATGTGTGTGGAGGATACCGTACCAGCCACTATTCATCTGAAGGCTGTTCCTGTAATCTGGGCAGTTGGTGGAATGGCTTCTACACTGAGGCTCCCTCCGTTGCCAGCTACCACTATGCCTTAAAAGCTTGTTAGAGCCAGGTGCCCAAGGCTGGCTAGCCAGAAAAATGAATATGATCCCCGATTCATTATTTGTTCTGGCCCAGAACTAACTGCAGGAGACATCTGCTGTTTTGCCTGTCTGTCAATCACCCCCATTCCGGTCCAGGCTTCAGCTTTCTTTCAGGGAACCTATTTACGGCCACTCCCAGTCAGGATGCTTGGGTGCAGCTGAATAATATAACTGGGCCCATGACCCAGAGCCAGCCACAGTGATTGGCTCAGGGATGAGCATGTGACCTGTGCCTAGCCAATCAGGAGTCTGTCTCAAGATTACAGCTGGATCTTCGAAGGAAAGGGACTCTGGGGTTGCTGATCCAGTAGGATGCTTGCTGACCCCGGCTGCTGGGAACCAGAGCAGGGGACAACAGAATAAGGAGAAGGAGGAGGGACTGTTAACATTGAACCCTTTTACCTCCTTGAGCTATTTATATGCTCCCATAAATCCCCTTCATGTTACTCCTATCAGGTGGTTTTCAATCATTTGCAAAGCTGCAAGGGAAGCTGACTTGCTTATCGCACTAACTAAGCTAATGAGTTACTTCTCACCTGGGAGGCATCAGACACAAAGCAAGGGTGGCTCTGTCCCACAAGGGGGGAGTCCCCCACCTCTCTAGGCCCGCTTCCCTGACCGTAGCTCTAATTCAGGTCCCAAGTGCAACAGGGAACAGGATGACAGAGGCTCAGTCACACCAAAACTGGGCACCAAGTGTCCAGGAAGCCATATGGCTCAGCTCCACCTGTCCTCAGAACATGGTAAGGCCCCATGGGCCCTGCCTCATCACAGAGCTGGGGTTGAATTCATTTCCACAAAGACCATGGGGCGTTCATGGGGCAGCAACGCTGAGCGCCTGAGCTGACCCTGGGATGCTTCAGAGGTGAGAAAGGTAGAGCTCACCCCTCCCTTCTCCTCACTGTGCTCTCTTAGCTACTGGTTTCTTAGCTATTCCCTCGTAAGGGCCAAGTGTGAGGGGGCAGAGCGGCCCCACATGCAAAGCTTTGCATTACAAGCTCAGAGACAACACTTCCTGCTGTCCCATCAGAGCACGCATTCCAGAGAAGCCCTGGAAAAGCCCCAGCTAAAAGCGTTAGGCAAATATTTAGGCTTGGCTTTGGAACCCCACTTCCTCCTTTTGTCCCCTCCGATTTTCCTGGTGTGCCCCACATTAGCAGAGACCTCCCCTCAGTCCTGCTCCCACCCATGGCTTATCACACTAGAAAAAGAGCTGACCAGAGTAACTTACTAAAGTGTTAGTGACCATCAGAGACACAGCATGCCCCGAACACCCTTACTATGAGACCATCAGGAGGGTGAGACTCCAAGGCTGACGGCACAGGAAGATCATTAGTAACCAGGAAGCCCTGCCAAACGCCCTGGTCCGTTTCCCCACTAAATGCTACCCTGGCTCCCCTCCAACCAGACCTAAAAGCAGAAAGCCACTATTCACTAAAGTTCAGGCAAACTATGAATGTTATTTACTGGGTAAGATTTTCTACTTCGGTGTTTCCCAAAGCATGGGGTGTGTATCGCTGAGTTTTAGATGACATCTGAGTGTAACACTAGATGAAGCATGTCAAACTCATGCTTGCACCAGATGATACTGAATTATATCTCTTCCCGTTCTCCTGATTAAGTCGAGGTGATGGTCTTGGTTAGATGCTAGTATATCTTTAATGCGTCTCTACATCCGTTCGTCTCCCTTTCTACACATGAACAAACACACATAAGGAAAAGCACAAGCCCAGAGCCTTCAATAAATTAGACAATGAAAACAAAAAGGTATTTTTATACTACTTCCTCTTTCCTGTAATTGATGCTGGTTTTCCATGTAAAGTAGTGAAATAAAGCTTCCTTTTAAAACAAATATTTATTTAAGTAAAAAAAAAAAAAAAAAAAGGAGACGGCTGATTTAGAATGTGGGAAAAATGATGCCCTGACCGGTGTGGTTCAGTTGGTTGGGTGTCGTCTAGCGCACGAAAGGTTGCAGGTTCGATTCCTGGTCAGGGCACATGCCTGGGTTCTGTGCTCAATCCCTGGTGGGGGGTGTGCAGGAGGCAGCTGATCGATGTTTCACTCTCAAATTGTTGCTTCTCCCTCTCCCTTCCTCTCTCTCTAAAAAGCAATTTTTTTAAATTTAAAAATGCAATAAAAAATAAAATGTGGGAAAATGACCATCTAGGTGACACAAGGACATGGCAAAAATAGCGTGGATGGGACAGGAATGAGTGCAGTTTGAGAAACACTGACCTTTTCTAACAGGCTACATGCTACAGGGCTGTGTACTTAGGAACTGCCGTTCCTCTGTCCTTACCTCATGGCTCTATGTTCAGAGTAAGGCCCTGCTTAGAGACCACTGGGCAGAAAAGTGAGAAAGTGGCAAATTATTTGAGGGTTTGGATTAAATACATGCTCCTGGTTGTTCTTTATAGCCCCTGGGAGGGAGGGAGGAGGAAGGGTTTGGAAAGCTGTTCCTTCGTGTTTTGGGAAACGCTAGGGACAAGAATGGTGTGCAGAGGTTCAAATGGCCACCCCAAAGAGGAATCAGAACTGTGGAAAGTAGGTCCTGAAGGGGGAAGGCAAGTCATGGATCTCAACAGAGTCCTGAGGCTCCTCTCCCTGTGGGGGACCATCACTCTGTCACCAGAATCCACTCATCCACTCATCTAGTGACCTCATCCCAATTTTCCTGCGGGGAACCAGGCCCTCCTGACACTCAGCTTCTAGATTTCCAATGACAGCTAGAGGGGTGGGCAGGAGGCTCACGCCCAGCCAATCAGAGAAGTGCATTCTCTGGCTACAGTGATTGGCACATGATCTAATGAACACCAAGAGGACCCAGTAAGACACCTTGCAAGAGAGGAATGTGCCCTATTTTGCTGGGAATGCTAAAAATAAAGACGTGAGCTGGGAACTGACAACTCTACCTAGAACCTGAGAATAGACAACACAAGAAGGCAGAGGTGAGAGACAGAGAGCAAGCGGGTCCTGATGACACTGAGCACCTGGATTAAGCCTTACCTGAGTCAGCCCCAAAGGACCTGTTTCTTAATATGAGAAAATAATGTCCTGTTATATTGAGTTAAGGTTTCTTGTAAACACGAGACTGACCATGGCAAGCGAGGCTGCTGTAGTAGCAGGCACGGTTTTCCTCCTCCCTGGGTCTGAAATGTCACGGATCCCCGAGGAGGAAGGGAATGCCGCTGAGGGTAGCAACCCTCACCTGCCTCTTTCATGACAGAGTTCCCTTTGGCTGCCGCTACGCCCCCCATAAAGCCGGGCCCCCAATTACCTTGAGCCGTTGCTGATAAGAATACTCTCCCGAATCGTCAGGGTGCAGTAATACCACACCAGTAGGAAGTTAAAGATTTCGTCCGTTACCCTGTGGGGAGAAACAGCCCCCGGAGGGGAGCAGGCATGAGAACCAGAGACGGCTGTCCCAGCCCCACTGCAACGGAACAGAGAACCAGGCCAAGGGCCGCTCACACAGGGGGCCTCTGGAACCCCCTGATGTCCGGGAAGGCAGAGGGGGTCTGCCCCTTAGATGTCTCTCCCCCTAGAATGCGCATGCCCCCTCCTCACCTTTCTACCTGAATCCTACCTGTCCTTAAGGCTCTAGCTGAGGTTTCCCTCCTTTCCTGACCATCCAGCCCACAACAACCTGTCTCCCTCCCACCGAAGGGCCTGTGGGTGGGGTACCCAGCAAGGAAATGATCCGAAGGGGGCAGAGTAAGGAAAGAAACTCCTGCTCCCAGGAGGCTCAGGACATTAGGCTGTGATCTTTTCCCTGCCTGCCCAGCGTAGCGGGAAATAACGGTGGCAATAACAACTGCTTGTGTGCCAGGTCACAGCTGAATGCCATAGGTGTACCTTATCTCATCCTCACCACCGTGCTGCTGGGTAGCTCCCCTTTTCCTCACTTTTAAAAAAAAAAATTTTTTTATTGTCTACAGTTTTATATATGTCTCCTTTTTCCCCAATTGACACCCCTCCCCCAGTCATATGCATGCATACAAGTCCTTAGGTTGCTCTCTAACCTCCCCCCCGCCTTCCCTACCATTTGTCTCTGGATCTATTCTTGTTCATCAAATTATGTTGATCATTATATCCCCCATATGAGTGAGATCATGTGATATTTATCTTTCTCCGACTGGCTTATTTCGCTTAGCATAATGCTCTCCAGTTCCATCCATGCTGTTGCAAATGGTAAAAGTTCCTTCTTTTTTATAGCGGCGTAGTATTTCATTCCACAGTTTTTTAATCCACTCATCTGCTGATGGGACTTTTTTCTTTTTTAAGAAATATATTTTTATTGATTTCAGAGAGCAGGGGAGAGGGAGAGAGAAAGAGAAACATCAGTGATGAGAGAGAATCATTGATTGGCTGCCTCCTGTACGCCCCACACTGGGGATCAAGCCTGCAACCAGGGCATAGGTCCTGACCGTGACTCAAACCGTGACCTCCCGGTTCATAGGTCAATGCTCAACCACTGAGCCACACCAGCCAGGCCTGTTATCCTCACTCTCTATGAAGAAACCAAAGCAGGGCAAGGTTAAGTTATCTGTCAAAGGTTAAGCATCAGGACCTCAGAATATGACCTTATTTGGAAATTGGGTCCTTGTAAATGTCATTAGTTAAGAGGAGGTCAGCCCTGACCGATTTGGCTCAGTGGATAGAGCGTCGGCCTGCGGACTGGGGAGTCCTGGGTTCGATTCCAGTCAAGGGCATGTACCTTGGTTGCGGGCACATCCCCAGTGGGGGGTGTGCAGGAGGCAGCTGGTCGGTGTTTCTCTCTCATCGATGGTTCTAACTCTCTATCCCGCTCCCTTCCTCTCTGTAAAAAATCAAGAAAATATATTTTTTTTTAAAAAAAGAGGAGGTCACACTGGATTAGGGTGGGCCCTAAATCCAAGGACTGGTATCCTCCTAAGAAGGTCATGAGAGAGACTCATAAAAACACAGGGAAGGAGGCCACCTGGCAAGACTGAGGCCCGTGAGGCAGAGACCGGAGTGAAACAGCTTTAAGCCACGGAACACGAAAGGTGGCCAGCGACCACCAGGAGCTAGAAAAGCAAGGAAGCGCTCAGCCTGCAGAGGGATTACGGTCCCGCCACACCTCATTTCACACTTGTGGCCTCCAGACGGGAGAGGATCTGTTTCTGTTGTTTCGAGGCACCAGCTTGTGGTGCTTGTTACGACACCCCTTGGAAAGGAAGACAGAACGGGGTGGGGAGCAGTGGGAACATCCAGGCCCTCAGTGAGCCCTGGAACTAAGTGCACAACACGCCACGGGTCTGCCCTCTGAGGGCCCAGAGGGCCCAGCACAGGAATCTGGTTGCTCATTGAGAACTTTCACCCCCTTCCAGAGGGGCATGTGAGCTGGCATTACTGATGGGTGCAGCCTTTGCCCTCCAGGGAAACGGGCCAGGCCCAAGGCAGCAGGCAGGCATGGGTCCAGGGCCTAAATGAGCCTTTGTTTTGGACATTCAAGTGGCCAGACCAGCAAGTGGACTCCCAGCCAAGCGTCTGCTAGGAAATAAACCCTTAACACCTGGGCCAAATGCCCAAGCTGTGCTTGGCCGCCTCCCCTGGGGCAGAAAACCACATGGAGACATGAAATCCCCTGGGGCAGTGTGGCTTCAGCCCCTGGCCTTGTCCTCAATGCACTGCTGGGTGGCACATGCTGGACAGAGCCCTCCACGTACAGTGTTAACACGCGAGTACCCTGTGAGGTGGGCACTGGTGTCACCCTCATTTTACAGACGGGAGGGAACCTGCCTATGGTAACAGCCAATTAGTCTCAAAGCCACGAGCAAACCAAGGTTCTCTGTGACCTATTCCCTCTCTCTTTCTTTCCTTGCTTTCTGTTCCCTTCCTCCCTCTTTCTTTTTGTAATTGAGATATGTAACTCACATACCATAAAATTCACCCTTTTAAAGTATACATTTGGTGTGTTTTTGTGTGTGTGTGTATTCACAATGTTGTGCATCCGTCACTACTACCTAATTCCAGAACATTCTCATCACTCCCAAAGAAACCCATACCCATCTGCAGTCCCTTCCCATTCGCTGCCCCCGCCAACTCCTGGCATCCACTAATCTACTGTCAGTCTCTATGGATTTACCTGTTCTCAGCATTTCGCATAAATGGAATCATACGCTGTGACCTTTTGTGACCAGCTTCTTTCACTTAACATACAAGTGGAGGTTTACAGTTTTCTTATGGAAAATAACACCATCATTAATAAACAACAATACAAGAATAAACTCTGTGTTTCACATACTCACAACTGTAAACCCACTTTTGCCTCACCCTGTAATGTTTCCCAGATTCATCTGTGCTGTAGCCTGTGTCAGAATGTCATCTCCTTTTACAGGCAAATACTATTCCATTGTGCGAATATGGCCAAACTGGGCTTTTTCCTGACTGCACTCGAGGCCTCTGCAGCAGCCGTTTAGTAGATATTATTGGAGGGATTACGGCGAACAGGACTGCTATTTCTCATGATAAATGGCCCTTCTCTATCGACACCTCATCACACAAACACGGTGGATGCAGGAGGGACCCTGGATCCCTCTCTCACGGTCCCCTCTCACCCCAGCGTGTCCCCCACTGCCACGCTGCCTTACCTGTAGTGAAGGACAAACTGACAGGCCACAGCCCCCAGGAGCAGGATGATGGTCAGGTAGAGCTTGAACTTCTCATACTCGTCCTTGTAGGCAAATCTATGGCAACAGACATGCCCGGGAAAGGTCACGTGACTGTTACTACATTTATGGTAGTATAACTACATCCCACTGGGGGCAGGACCCTGGCCCCATTGGATCCTTGACATACTGCCAACCACACCCCATTAGGACCTTGTGATCCCACTAAAGGAGAGACTGGACCTTAAATGAATGGTGACGTCAATTAGGGAGCAAGACGGGGTCGCCTCCCCCAAAACGCCACGGCTCCACCTCCCTAGTAACTTGACAGATTGTGGCTGGACACAACTGTCTGCTTCTCAGGAGAAAAGTGTATGAGACGAGACGAGACGAGACGAGGAATGGAGCAGAGCCATTTCTCACGGGAAACGCAGTCCTATCCACCCAACATATGGAACCCATGAAGGAAGCCTTTCCCAGGGGGTTAGAGAGACCAAGAGCCAGGGCACCGCCTGTTAAAGTTTTTTCCTTTATGCAGAAGTTCTAGCTTGGTCCCATCTCCCTGAACTGGAAGCACAATGCCTGGGTTCTGTAAGGCCAGGTGGGTGCCTGGGACACTTACTTGGCCTGGTTGCTGAGGAGGGTCACGCTTACATTGCCGAGGACCAGATTCAAGTAGAGCCTGGAAGGAAAGACCTGTGAAGTTGCCACGTCCCTAACAGCCCTGGGGGCAGCCCCAACCAAAAATATTCAAATGTAATAGGCATGCATTGAAAAGCCAACACAGAACATACGATGCTAAACTCAGCAACAATGGGCCTCACATCGAGTTCGAATAATGATGAACTAGAGAACGGGAGGACTGTGACACTTGACAGTCATGACTGACCCATCTTTCTCCCCATATTTATCCCAGCTTCCCTTGCAGCTAATGTGAGCATGTGACTAAGCGCCAGCCAATGAGGTGAAGGTATATGTACAATATCTAGGTCAATTTAAAGCAGGCTCTTTTTAAAATGAAGGCATAACCTTCAAAAGTACATAAGTCTTGCTCTGGCTGAGTAGCTCCATTGGTTAGAGCACTGACCAGACACACCAAGGTTACAGGTTCAAAACCCATCAGGGCACATTTTTTATAAGAATCAACCAATGAATGCATAAATAAGTGGAACAGCAAACTGGTGCTTCTTTCTCCCTCTCCCTTCTTCTCTTTTTCTAAAACTCAATTTTTTAAAAAGTATATAAGTCTTCAGTATACAACGTGATGGATTTGTACATATTTATTCATCCCTGCAACCAACACCCAGATCAAAGAATAAAACACTTCCAGCCCCAGAAGGCTCCCTCCCAGCCCCGCCCAGTCAGTGCCTGACCCACAGTGTCCATGGAGAAACATGTGAGGAAGCCTCCTTCTCTTTCCTGCCCTCACTTCTGTCTTTCCCCCTCAACCTCAAGCCCTGATGGGAAGGTGAGAATTATGCAGACCAGGTATCCTAAACCTGGGTGTCTGCCCCAGCAGGGGGTGGGGAGCGGGGTGTGTGAGTTCCCAGCTCCTACCCGTTCTTCTTGGGCAGGTAGGCCTCCATGTCAAAGAAGGTGTTCTGCCGCTCCTTGATGGTGACATCTATCTGCTGGACCAGCTCCGCCTCCTCCAGACTGGCACGGCGCTTGTACCTGCGGTCAGAGGTGTGGGCATAGGAGAAGCAGGGGCGTTACCAGCCTGGAGGAAGAACCTGGAAGCTCTGGCCACTGCCCTCCCACTCTTCCCTCTCAATGTTTCTCGCAACCTCAGTCTCCACCTGTATTCCTGGGTTTGATACAAGCTCCCTGCTAAGCCTTGTGACCTTGGGAATGTCTTTTAACCTCTCTGCCTTATTTTCCTTATCTAAAAAAATAGGAATAATGTCAAGCCTACCTTCTGGAAATACCGCTGCGACAAGTAAATGAGTAAATGCAATTTAAAGTATTTAGCGCACTGAAAAGTACTAGCAATATCATTCCTCTCACTATTCTTTTTTTTCCAAATGACTTTGATTTAATCATGGGGAGTAAACTAAAAAGAAAGCTTACAATAGAGAAGAATTATTATATGTCAATGTCTTTTGCAAACTAAGCTGGGACACAAAGGGACTGGGGCTCTGCTCGCTATTCTACAGGAATAAGCTGAAGATTACTAAGAGGGAGACAGGATGGCACTTTAAAAGAATAAGCAGCCTGGCCAGCGTGGTTCAGTGGTTGAGCTTCGACCTATGAACCAGGAGGTCACGGTTCGATTCCCGGTCAGGGCACATGCCCAGTGGGGCACGTGCAGGAGGCAGCCGATTAATGATTCTCTCTCATCACTGATGTTTCTAACTCTCTCTCCCTTTCCCTTCCTCTCTGAAATCAATAAAAATATTTTTAAAAATAAATAAATAAAAATAAAAGTATAAGCAGTCAGGGGGCTGGGTAGAGGTAGACAAAGGGTAGGGCGGGAATGGGGACATCTGTAGTAGTGTCAACAATAAAAATAAAGTAAAAAAAAGAAAACAGCATAAACAGTAAACTAATCAAGGTCTAATTGTTAGTCTTTCAAGACTAGAAAAACAAGTCACAGACATTCTTGGAGCAGGGTTGTCTTCAGTGTAAGACCCTAAGTCAGGGGCTAACCTTCTACCCAGTGGTGCTCAGTGGCGATGTCTGGGAACGTTTTGGTTGTCAAGACCGAGTGGAGGGTGTTACTGGCATCTGTGGGCAGAGGCCAGCAATGCTGCTAAACATTCTACAACGCACAGGGCAGCCCCCGCCAGCCAAGAATTACCGTTCGTGCCAAGGCTGAAAGACCCTCGGCAGATGTAAAGGACTCTGAAGTCCTGCCATCGGTAAGATGTGCCTTTCCAAGAGAGGCGATGGCGCTGCATTGAACCATTTACGCTTTACCCCACGACTAACGGGCCTCCGTTTCCCAAATGGTCAGCTAAGGTTAGGGGTACAATCAATAACCTTCCCAAAAAGTGTCCACGAGGGAAGGGGAAAAGTGACCCGGAGCCACACACTCTGGAATAGAAACCCATGTAAGTGACCGGGGACAAGCCACTCAGAGCCTCAGATGTCTGCCCGACTGAGGGATCACAGCATCCACTGGACCTGTTCGCCTACGGGGGATGAGAGCACTTCCGAAACCAGAAAGACACAAGGACTGGAAACGGAACATGTAATCCTGGCCTCAGGAGCTGACCTCAGTGATGAGCTCAAGTGTATCTCCACCAGGGATGCCAGACCTCTTACCCCCTACATCAGACAGCCTGGTGGAGGGAGCCCCCTCGCGCCTGAGAAGTGTAGTTAATGTTTACCTGCCCAGCAGGACTTCTTATAACAGTTTTCTTCTGGGGAACTACATGTCATCCTCTTCCCCCTCCATGTGGTGTAAGTAGGGCTGTCCCATTCCCAAGGTCCATAAACTGAGCATATGACCTAGTCTTGCCTAACCAGTCTTGGTGATTTGATTGGTTCAAAGATGGGCACATGACCAATTCCAGCCAATGAGAACTGCTCCCAGAACTTGTGCTGAAAGACAAGTTCTCCTTAGGCTGGGGTGCCCAAGCCAGTAGGAAGAAAGGCTGCAGGATATAAGCCTGGCACTGCTGGTGGCCATCTCAGTGCCCATGAGAGGATGGTTAGCCATAGAGTGAAGCCAATCTAGGGAAATGCAGAATTTAGAGGGAAAAAACAGATTCCTAAAAACATCCTTTGACCCCTGGATCCTAAAGCCACTTGTGGGTTTTTTCCATTAAAATTTCCATTCTCTGCCTCGCTGGCATGGCTCAGTGATTGCGCGTCAACCTATGAACCAGGAAACCACAGTTCAATTCCTGGTCAGGGCACATGACCCAGCTGTGGGCTCGATCCCCAGTGTGGGGCATGCAGGAGGCAGCCGATCAATGATTGTCTCTCATCATTGATGTTTCTATCTCTCCCTCTCCCTTCCTCTCTGAAATCAATTTTATATATATGTATATATATATTTTTTTTAATATATTTTATTGATTTTTTACAGAGAGGAAGGGGAGGGATAGAGAGTTAGAAACATCAACCAGCTGCCTCCTGCACACTCCCTACTGGGGATGTGCCCTCAACCAAGGTACATGCCCTTGACTGGAATCAAACCTGGGACCCTTCAGTCTGCAGGCCGATGCTCTATCCACTAAGCCAAACCGGTCAGGGCAATAAAAATATATTTTAATAAAATTTTCCATTCTCTGCTCAAGCCAGTGTTGAGCTGGGTTTCTGACCCTTAGAACCAGGGGAGCTTTGAATCGCAGCCCCGCCTACCTCTGGAGCGTGCGCTTCAGGTCCTTCAGTCGCGTCTTCTGCTTGCTGATGGAGCTGCTACACAAAGTCTGGAGCACAGTCAGCTCCTCCAACTTCTGCCTGTAGATCCTGTGAGTTTCCTGAGGGACGGAGCAGCCCGGGCAGGGCGTAGAAGAGAACACCAACAGGTCATGTGTCATAGTTTGTTTGTGTCAGGGGACATGATTGCAGAGCTCACAATTGGACAGCCAGGACGATACAAGTACAACTATCAAATCTGCGGCTCAGAAAGGGGGACTGGAATTGGGGAAGGCGGCACAGCACAGCCCTTGTGCAATAAGGAATTACTGTTTTCGTTCTTACCCAAGTCCCTTCCTTCCTAATGGTAACAGCAACTAGGTCTGACTTTGAAGGGCCACTTCTTGTCAATTCTTAGTCCAGATGGTTCCAGTAGAGCTGACAATCCCCAGGCCAAGAGTGGTCATGTGATCTAGGCCTAACCAATCAGTATCTTCCAATCCCTTGGCAACTGACTGGTTCAGACATGGACACAAGGCTTAAATGGGCCAATGAGAGTAAGTCCTGGGACCCTGCTGGAAGAACTGGTGTAGAGATGCCCTCTTTCTCCTGAGTTTGCTCATCTGATAGCATGTACACATGGGGTTGCTGGGTGGGGAGAGCCTGCCTAAGCATAAAGCCAAACAGGAAAACAGACCTGAGACATGGTGAGAGACAGAATTCTCATAGCCTCATTTCAGCCCTTGGATCTAACCAGGTCTGAGTGTAATGCTATTCAATACTCTTGGTTATATGAATTCATAAATTCCTTTTCAGTGAGGCCGGTCTGAGTTGGGTTTCTGATCCTGGCAATGAAGAGAGTTCTTACCACATCAGCTAAGGAAAGGTCATACCCCTTCCCTTACAGCCAACGCTGCCTACCTCGGGCACAGTCGCTCCAATTAACTCAATACCTCATTCCTGGAAATAACCAGTCAGGGCCACAAGAAATACAAGAGACTTTGTCCCAAAACTGGGAGAAAGGAACACAGTAACTTCTCGGCATTGCTGCCACAACAATGCACCTCCCCCAAATAATGCCAGGTGCCGGGAAACAAGCCCTTGCCTCTAATCTGATTATCTAAGACAAATGCTAACCATTTGGAGAAGCCAATGTGAGGGACGGGAGCCATGAAATTAAATACAATAATCCAATGAACACATTTAAGTGGCTGGAGGAGAACTGTATTTAGTAGAGGGAGAGAAAAAGGAGATGGTCCAACAGTGAGGCCAGAGCCTAAATTCCCATTCGTGCCTACCAAGCAAGGTCCCTAAATATGCAGGGGAAGCCAGAAGGTAAGGGAGAAGTGAAGAAAATGAAGTGAGTAGATAGCAATTAGGGGCAACACTGAAGCACGCGGTGAGCAAGTCTCCCTTGGCTCCCAGACGGGAAGGCTCAGTCCCTCGGATTCAAACAGTATCATACAGTTGCTCCTTGCTGGCCCCCCAGAGAGGAAAATCCTATCTCTATTTTACTTAACTTTTTATCTTTAAATAATTTCACACTTGCAGAAGAATTCTAAGAAGAGTAGAAAGAACTCCCCTCTACCCTTCACCCAGATTCACCAACTGTTAGCATTACACCATCTTTCCTTATTTGCTTTCCGCACCACCACCACCACCACCACTGCCGCCGCCGCCGCTGCCACCCTCGCCGTGTGTGTGTGTGTGTGTGTGTGTGTGTGTGTGTGTGTGTGTGTGTTCTTTTTCGATATCAGGCAACAGGAATTTATAGCCCACGGGCCAAATCCAGCCAAATCCAGATTTTTGTGCGGGCAGTAAGCTAACAATGGTTTTTCCTTGGTTGAAACAAATCAGAAGAATAGTTTGTGACATGAAAGTATACGAAATGTGAAACTTCAGTAGCCATAATAGAGCCCAGCCACACCCGTTCATTTGCATATTGTCTGGGGCCTCTCGGGAAACTACAACAGCAGAGTGAGTAGTTATGACAAAGACCATATGGCCTGCAGAGTCCTCGCTACTTGGCTTTTGTGCCAAAAAAAAGTCTACCTCCTCCTTTTCTAAACCATTTGGGAGTTAGCTATAGATAGACAACATGCTTCTTTACTCCGCAATCCTTCATTGTGCATTTCCTAAGAATGATGACATTCTCTTACATCCACAGTACAATGATCAAATACAGACAATGCAACCTGGATCCCACACAATGCCATGACCTCACATCTTGCTGACTGTCCATCGATGGCAATGTCCCCGCAGATCCCGGACCCGACTCAGTCTCCTGCCTTGTACTGCTGCTTGCATCGTTAGCCTCCTCTAGTCTAGCACAGCTCCTCAACCTTTCTCTGTCTTTCGTGACATCCACATTTTTTAAGGAGTTGAGTCTAAAATTGGGGCGTGTCCCTCCGCCTGGGCTGGTCTGTTGTTTCTTCATGATTGGACCTGGGTTATGCTGTTGGAGCAAGAATGCCACTAAAGTGACACTGTGTCCTCAGCGTCTCCCATCCAGAGGGACACAGTGTCCGTGATGTTAATGCTAACTGCTTAGAGGAGGCGGTGCCACCTGCTTTCCCCGTTGCACAGCGACCAGCTTTCTATCTGTAGTTAATAATGAGCGATCTGTAGAGAGACAGGCTGTTTTAATCACTTTTGAATTCTTCAGTCCCAAAACAGCCATCCACTTACAACCAATATCTACTGCAGTCTAGTCAGGGGGTCTCCATGGGGAGGACGGGGGCAGAGACCCCCTGGCTACGGTCCTCAAGAAGGTGGGGCCATTGGACTGAGTGTCCTGGAAGATAAGAGCCATGTGACCTCCTTGGCACTCTTTGGGGTTGGGTGCCACCACGGGGAGATAAGACCAAGACTGCAACATCAGCAGCCAGATGTTTACCAGGCCCTCTTCAGCTTGAATTAATATTTAATTTCAAAGTAAAATGGGAAGACATTATCCTTATAAAACATTAAAACACAACAGTTATGGCTGGAGTCAGCTTTGAACACATCCCTGTCCTTCTCCCCCATCCCCAGAAGTAACCACAGTTGCCAGTTGCTTCTAGACCTTTTCCTATGTATTCTTCCAGACTGTTCTATGTATGTACATATTTCTATATTTTATATAGACCTATTTCTATATATACACATAAATATATAGACATATATGTGAAAAACACACTTGCAAACACTAATTGTCCCTAATATTTATTCTCCTTTGCTGCATTTTAGCAACAGGACCCCACAGACTTATGGCTAGACATGTGGCCTACAGACTACATTTCTCAGCCTCCCTTGCAGCTAGAGGTAGCAGTCTGACTAAGAGTTAGCCAGTGGGAGGTGGACAGAAGTGATGTGCAGTAGTTCTGAATTACATTTTTATAAGGGGCTGCTTGGCCTCCACTCTCCCTTTCCCTGGCTGGCATATGGCAGCTACGGGTCCCGTTACATTGAAACCAGAGATGAAAGCTACATGATACAAATAGCAAAGCCCACTGTGCCTTCCCTCGCCAAACCAGCAAGGATCCCACATGACCTCATATGACGGAGCTTCCAACCTGTAATGGTTTAAAAACTTGATCGCCCATCCTTTAGCAATCCTCACATCGAGAGGTGGGGGTCTCTGTTCTCTCCCCTTAAATATACGTAGGCTTGTGGCTGGCTTGACCACATAGCTAGGTAGAAAGATAGATGATAGATACATAGATAGAGCAAAAGTGACACTCTATAATTTCTGAGAACATGTCGTAGAAAGACATATGCTTTGGCCTTACTTACGGAAACACTCACACTTAGAGCAAAAAGTTCAACTACCCTGAGGCTACCATGCTGTATGGAAACCCTAATCAGATGGAGAAGTCACAGGTAGACACTCAGATAAACAGTCCTCACTGGAATGACAAACCTTCTTGTCATTCCAGCTCAGGCACACAGAGGCACAGAAACCTCCAGATGACTCCAGCCCCAGCCATGGAAGTTACTGCCAACTATTCAAGTCTTCCCAGCCACGGCCTCTTGGCATCACAGAGCACAGTCAAGTTATCCAGACTATGCCCTGTCTAAATTCCTGACCCACAGGATCCATGAGCAAAAAAGCAGTGATTGCTGTTTTATGCAGTGACAGGTAACTGGAATACCACTCATCCTGGACCACACCTCCCTCTGCACTGTTCTGAGAGAAAGAAAGACGAAACCTCATTTCAGCCTTTTTTTATTTGGGGATCTCTCTCTGTTATAACAGCACAGCTTATACCCTAAAGCACATACTTTTTAAAACATATATATATTTCTTTATTGATTTCAGAGAGGGAGAGAGAGATAGAAACATCCATGATGAGAGAGAATCAGTGACGGCTGCCTCCTGCATGCCCCATCACACTGGGGATCGAGCCCACAACCCAGGCATGTGCCCTTGGCCAGAATCGAGCCTGGGACTCTTCAGTCACAGGCCAATGCTCTATCCACTGAGCCAAACCGGCTAAGGCAAGCACATACTTTTGATTTTGAAAACTATATAACAGTATCAGAACATACATATGATTCCACAACTTTCTTTCCTTACTCAATAATATGCCTTGAAAATCTACCCATGTAAGAATACATTTACTTCATTTTTCTTTAGTGCTGTGTAGTTTTTCATGCTGTGGACACGCTGCAGTTTAGTTAAGCCATTCCTCTATTACTGGATATTTAGGCTGTTTCCAGTCTCTGACTAAACCTAACAATGCACCATTGCACTGCCTCCCTGGGCACACAGGCTAGTATCTCTCTGGGGAAGATTCTTTCTGGGGAAAGAAATGGAATTGCTGAGTCAGAGGGTACAGGCTTGTCTTCAGTTTTAATAGATCTTGGCAAACTGCCCACAGAGTGGCTGTACCACTTTACAGTCCCACCCACAGCATATGACAGTTGTCCACATCTCACCAACTCTCAATGCTATCAACATTTACTTTTTTAAAAATTAAATATGTTGAGAGACAGGAAGGGAGAGGGAGAGAGAGAAAAAACACTGATGAGAGAGATAAACATCAATCAGCTTCCTCCTGCAGGCCCCGTACTGGGGATTGAGCCTGAAACCTGGGCATGTGCTGTGACGGGGAATTGAACCGATGACCTCTGGGTGCAC